ACACCAGAATCTTTCCTAAATTGCACAGTCCCATAGCGGTCAAAGGTTTCTGCATTCGTTTAGCAACAGTAGGAGAATTTTATGTGGCATTCTAGTTTAACAGCTGTAATGGAACAAATTTTGATGCAAGCAAAGTATTGCTAAGCTGATGATATTTCAACTGTTTGGCGATACATTTCCGTTAAAAAAAAGTGGGTATAATGGATGAAACAATTTAAATTAAGAAAATTAGCAAATAATTTAAATTAGTGAAATTAAAAAAATTATCAAAGAAAAATTTCCAGCTTTTCTTTAAAATTCCCTGATTTTTCCAGGTTTTTATCCAAATTTCCCTGATATTTCCAGGTTTTTTCCAGTATAAAAAAATTCCCTGATAATTCCAGGTTTTCAAGGTTTTCCAGGTGGGTGGCCACCCTGCATTGGGTGTCTGGATACTTTAAGCTAGGTAGTGTAAAACCCTTTAGGCAAAAAGAAAAAGTTTAAGAAACCTCTGACATCTTTTATTTTATAAATTAGCATTGAAATTAATTATTAATTTTGATGGAAATAGGAAATTCTATGAAACTAGTTTCAATATTGACACAAACATAAGAGAATGCTCAGCAGATTGGTTAGTTTTTAAGAATTTTTTCAAATAAATTAAAAAATTTATCAGCCTAAAATAATTTCTGATTATAATCAATTGTTTAACATAACCCTAAAAATATTACATACTTTTAAACTCCAGAGTTTTACAGTCCAATCCATGGAAGAGGATAAAAATAAATGGGAAAAATCAATATGTCCCTGAGCACTGTGTGAACTGATGCCAGTTATAGGACCTTGATGTCCTTCATAGAGTTCATGAATGCCAGCCTTGCTTCCATGTCTAGATGCTAAAATAAGGAACAAAAATTCACATTATAAAAAAGAACACTTCAAAAGAATATTGAATCTAGTACAGTGGAATTTGACTCCTTCTGCTCTGATTATGGATAATTCAAGGTATTCTTGATTTCAGATTGTTGGTGGTTTCTTTTTCCTCTAAATTCGAAAATATTTTCAAAATCAAAAATATTTTCAAGTTGTATATGAGAATGTAATTTTTTTAAAGGTTGTATAAAATGTTTAAATAGAAACATAGAACACTTTTTCCTAGAGTTTTATTTTAATACACAAGTGATACTTATTTTAGATACAATGATACTGAAAGTCAAGAGAGAAAAAAAAATTGGAATTTTTAATGGATTTTAATAATTAAAATTCAACTTAAAAATTTTACTATAATATTGATACAGTTTAAAATCACAACAGGCCAAAAAACATTTATAACTCTTTTAAATCAATTCAGTAATTCATTAATTATTAATAAACATTATAAAGTAAATTATTAAATATATAAGCAGCAAAATATGTTATGCAGTGTATTATACACACAAGAAAAAAATTATGTTTCTTTCTTGTAATTTTTTTGAATGAAGAAATACATCTTAGACGATAAGCACACACATCCGTAACAAAAACAAAATAGATCTATTACTATTAAGTTAACTATCCTTGAAAGAACTGACCATCATATAAATAAAAATTAATTTTGCTAGGATAAATTGATATTGAACATATGGTATGATGAGTGAGTCACTCTGACTCAGGCTGGTATCCAACCAGCAATTGTTACCTACCAGCTTGCTGGGAAGCAAAAGCGGTTTGTGCACAGCACTGACCACATTGCTACTATCATGCAATTGGTCATGAAATTGTGGAGCAGTAACCTCCAGACCCACAAAGGGCTGTTACGGGAAAGCCTTACTTATACGATGAGTGACTTTGCTTATATGTACTTTAATTTATGCCAAATACTAAAGAAAGAAATTTTTTCTAATTTTTCTCAATTATTTTGCTTTTTAATTATAGCTCAATTATTTTGCTTTTTAATCAGGGGATATTCTTAATTAATGCAGAATATGCAAAATCGTACGGATGTAGTAATAGAAAGCTGTTGGTAGGATAAGATTTAATATTTTAAGTTACAGAAAATGCACAAAAATGCAATGTTTAAAAAAATCTAGTTTGAAATAAAGACTTATATAACAACCTTCCCTCTTTTCTTTTCACTAGTTGTACAAAGTTTAGATTCTTCCAATTTCTTTTTCTTCATTATTTTTCTTGGGAAAATACTTTGTGAAAATGAGTAGTACAAAATAAATTTATCAAAAATAAAAATTTTTGATTATCAGAATAGAAGAAGCAGATGGGAATTCAGATTTTTTCATTAATATCAAAAAGTTTGTGATTTTGAAGTTTGAATAAATTAAGGTAGACTGTGATGGGTTTAAGAGAAACTAATAGTCAAAACACTAATAATTATTTAAATATATTCAACAATAAGCGTTACTATAGTCTCTTACCGGTATATATAGTTCCTTCTTCACTCCCAACAACAAAATTGTTATAATCGCCAGATGGAAATGATAAACTTGTTACAGAAACTGGCCTAGACTGCTTCTGGTGGGACAGTTCCATTGTATCCTAAAATGATACAAAAATGTATCATGTGTTTGAAATGACTATTGATACACTAGTAATCAAACAAAGTCAAGAACTCTCTCGAGTTTTAATTTATATTTTTTAATTCATTACAAGACCAACATATAAATTCAGAAGATGAATAGCAAATACTTTATAAATTACAATTCTTTTGAATAACTTTAATAAAAAATTTCAGTCAGTTCTGAAATACTATATGAAATTTTTTAATGACTTTGATAAACTTTCGATGAATTCATTAATTAATGCATAGATAAAGCAAACTAATGAATGCATATAAAAAGCACAATAACAATTCATTTTAAAATAAAAATAAAACTAGTTTAAAATGTATATGATCCAAATATATTTTTAACTATAATTTAAATCCATAATAATCAAAGGCTCTGATATAAAGCAATTTAAAATTTGGACTGATATTTAAATCCACTAGCTGCTGCCAACAACCAACTTTGGTCCACAAAGGGCTGTCATGCCAATAGAAAATAAATTTCTATTAGTACAATAAAAAATTGCTATTAGGAAGTAGAGAAACCTATAAATTAAATTACAAATTGTATAAATTAGAAAACATAAATTTTAACTACATTATAATAGATATATAATACAATTGCAAGATTTAAAAAACTTGATATAATATTGCCGACTGCAAGAAAATACTATTTTAATCTTAAATGACTAAATAATTTTCAATGGAGAATTCTCTTGAATAAAACCTAGGTTTAAGATGTACCAGCTATGGGTGTATTTAAGTTGTACTTGGTTTAAGGCTTACACATATAAGCTATTGGGTTTTCAATGAAAAAAATATTTGATTTATATTTATCACTTTATTTGGAAATATAGTATTTATATCGAAACTTATTTTGAAAGATAGAATAAAATATTATGTATGTTCACCTGAGGAGTTGAAAGCATATCCAAACTCCAAGTGCAAAATTTACCATCAGTAGATATACTGACTAAGTTGTGGGCATTTTGAGTACCAACTACTTGTATGCAATAAACAGGATGCTGAAATTAAAACACAACACAAAATTAGTAACAAAGTTTTTTAACAGTTGGTTATACTAAATATGAAAACTACAATACATTGTTTACAAAGTAACCACAAATTATAGCTACAACTTGGGAAAGTCTATGACAAAAATTAACAGCCATCCATGAAAAGATTACAGTTGAAAGGCTCTGACATGCAGGGGGTAAATATTTTATTATCTTTTACTATGAGAAGCACCATCTGTAGATGTACTTTGTAGTTAGATTTGAAACTTAGTTTGAGATATTTGGTAGAAAGAAATACGCTGAATCACTTTTTTCTTTGCTGAAGGTAAGTATCTGAGTTTAAGATTTGATTTAAAGCTTCATAGTCTAATAAAAAACAAAACTAGCAATCTTTCAGATAATACATATAACAAATCACTTACAAATACTACTTACAGTATGAGCAGCTGCAGATAATGGACTCCTTTGTACAGGTGTCCTTTTGCTACTACGATTGTCCCATAACACTATTTGACCAGAATATGTTCCTCCTAATACCAAGTTCGGATGGAATTTGGCAAAACACGTAGACATCACTGCAGACTGAAATATACAGAAAAAATAATGAATTCAAAATTCATGAAAAGAAATAAAAGTAGATAGAAATGCTTTTTTTTACATCAACCAAAATCAAATTTAAATATTCTTTAAATATACTCATTAACTGACTCGTTTGATTGTTAGCAAAGCTTGTTATCAATTGCCATAGCCTTTGCATTGATGGTTGTCAAGAATAAAATATGGCAAAGATTCACAAATCCTCAAATGGTTAAAAATCATATCACTATTTGAATTGAAAATGAAACTTTAATCTTAAGAATGTCTACAAAGAGTTCTACAAAAGTTCAAAAATATTTCTGACAAAAAGTAAAACTTATTATGATGCGACTAAGCAATTTAACAACTAGCATTTTCTAAGATAAACAAGAGGGTGATCTCATTGTGGAAAAACAATAAAAAAATTTTATAAATCAATATTAGTCAAAATTGTAGGAGAACGTGATTCTTTCAAAAAGATAAAATTGCTTACTATATAAAATTTTAGATAAGCAATTTATGTAGATTCATAAATGATAAGTTCAGTAATTTCTATCATAAGGTAGCATAATGCTTCAAGATATACTTAAAAAAATAAGGCACCAAAATACCAATATCTTTACAAAATAATTAACCTAAGCTTTCAGTTTTGTTACAAAAAAACTAGTATTTCTTTTAAATCACTTAAAAACAAAAAGTGTATAAAATACTTCAATTAAAAAAAGAATAATAACTTGAAAACACAGGTGTTTCAGAATTAAAAAGTAGGAACATAGACAGCCCTTAGTGGGTCTCACAAATGAGCAATCATATACATTGTACCCTTTGATGTAACTTGACCTGTATACAAGATTTCCCATTTAATGCCACATTATTCTCTTTGTAATTTGACAGTTATACATAGTTTCCTATTTAATATCATATACACTGTTCCCTTTGATGAAATTCGACTCCTATACACTGTTTCCCAATCAAACAGGGGTAAACTCGTTTTACTATACATATAAGAATACTTCTTGAAAAATGACTTTTAACATTTCTATCTAGTCATGTCAGAGAGATAAAAATCCATTTACAATAAAACCAGTAGCTTTAAGGTAGTAAACATTTAGCTTTTTATTTAAAAAATTACTCTAGACAATAATAAAAATGCAAAAAAAATTTTTTTTAATCTAGTTCAATATACAATGTTTCTTGGATTGTTTTATTGATGTGTTTAATTTTATTTCTATATATGTTGTATTGGCAGGTAAAATTTGAATATGTTGTATTGGCAGGTAGAATATTGGCAGTTAGTTATGTTTCAGAATCTGTGTACATATTCTACCACAATAGTCATACAAACAAAGTTAGACAATGTTAAAGAGCACAAAAATATTATTAAAAGCAGACAGCTGTTTCGGATGCTCAAAGGGCAACCTTCATCAATGCATCAGAAAGAAATGAGAGAAAAATAGGGCAAATATATAGAGAAAGATGACGTCACAAGGGGATTAGAGCAACGACCAATAGGAGGGAAGGGTAAAAGGATGACGACAAATGGGAAGCAAGGAACAAAAAGGTGGGGGGGGGTTAGTTAGGTTTATTCATTGATTTCCAAACAGGAGAAAGATAAGGAACGCTGGATAGGTCATTGACCAACAGTTTGGAATTTTTGAAAATATTAAAGGACTCATAAAAATCTAAATCAAAAATTGAAGAACAATTTTGAATAACTTTAGAAGAAGAAAAATCAAAATTATGATTAGATTCCCAACAATGTTGGGCAATAGATGAGCGTTTAAATTCTTGTTTTTTGACATAGGCTTCATGTTCCTTGACACGGCACTTTAAGGCACGCTTAGTTTGGCCAATATATGAAAGGCCGCATTGGCAATTAATTTGGTATATACCCCAGCTACTTTGACTGTCAATGGGCTGCTTGAGATTAGAAATTTTTATCTTATTAATGGGACTGAAAATAATATTAAAATCAAACTTCTTTAGTATATATGCAACTTGCCGACTTATTTTAGGAAAATAGGGTAAAATGACTAAATTGTTAGAAAATTCTTTGGAAGGTTTAGCGGAATGTGATTGTTTAGTTAAGTTTTTATAAATATTATCAATAATGTTAGGAGAATAACTTCTGTCATGAGCAATGGCTTTGATGTAATTTAATTCTGCATCAAGAAGATCATCGTTAGAACAAATATTTACCGCACGGTAGACAAAAGACCGAAAAGATGCAAGTTTTTGGTTGGGAGGATTTGTAGTGAGGGGGAAGAGAAACAGCAAAAGGTTTACGAAAGACAGTAGTATGGAATGAATTATCATTCCGAGTCACAAGAACATCTAAGAAAGGAAGTTTTTGATCAGACTCTAATTCAAAGGTGAACTGAATGCAAGAATCAATGCTGTTCATAACATTAAGGATTTGATCTAAATTACAATTATTTTCCTCTAACAAAGCAAAACTGTCATCAACGTATCTTTTATAAAAGGGGAAAGTTAAGATTTTGAGTAGTTTACTCTCAAAATAATGCATATAGATGTCACTAAGTATAGGGCTCAAAGGATTTCCCATGGCAAGACCATTGGTCATACGGTAAAATTTGTTGTCAAGCGCGAAAGTATTTTGTTGTAAACAAACACGGGTAAGGTTAACATATTCATCGACCTCATATGGGGAAAAATGATATTCTGAAAGTCTAAGTTTTAGGCATTCCAAAGCCCCCTCAACAGGAACATTAGTGAACAGTGATTTTACATCAAATGAAATTTCTGATGCACTGATGAAGGTTGCCCTTTGAGCATCCGAAACAGCTGTCTGCTTTTAATAATATTTTTGAGCTCTTTAACGTTGTCTAACTTTGTTTGTATTTTAGCACAAAGGTCGCCCACTTGTGTATTTACAATAGTCATAGTAAGAATAAAACTACCACAACAAAAAATTAAATAATAGTAAAATTAGTAAATAATTTTAAAAAGATTTACTTTTTTGAAGAAATATTTTTAATAATTAATGGTTGTATACCTGACAATGAAAAATGTATTCAGGAGTAGTTTTTTTAAATTTCATATTCCAGACTAGACAGACACCATCAGGATCATGAGGAGAATCTTCATTATTATTATAAGATGCAACTAATAATTCAGGAAACTGGTGAAAACAACAAAAGAAGCATTGGTAGTAGGATAACATAATAATCTTAAAATTATAATACACAATTATATAGCATAATAAAATCACAATGGCTCATATTAGTTTAAGTTTGAAAAAGTAATGGTATTTAAAAAATTCATTAACTCTGCAATAAATATGGATAAATTTTTTCAAATAGAAAAATATAACATAAGAAAGTGTTAGCAATAAAAAAATAAGCTTTTTGTATTTGCAAATAAAATATTATAAAATAAAAAAATAATAATTTTCAGTAATAAAAAATTAACTTATTGCATTCACAAATAAGATGTTACGAAATATAAAATAATTTTCAGGTAAGACTTAAAATTTCAATGTTTTACAATAAACAAGTTAATACATTTTTGCATAATAAATTTATAATTTTATATTGAAAAAAAGAGGCAACTTCAAAAATAAATTGCTTAGATTTAACTCACCTGAGATGACCAATCAAAACTAGTTACAGTGCGGTTTTTGGACCATCTGTCATCAAAAAATGTTCTGTTCAATGACAATTTAATGCCGCTTTTATCGTCCCTGAAATAATTTTTTTTCTTAAATAACAAAATTATAAAGAAAACAGCAATTGAATGAATTGGATATATTTTTTAAAAAAAGAAAAAATATATATTTAACAGAATTGTAAACACTTTATTAGTAGATACCAAAATATTTTTTTAGCTAAATTGACTCAATTACAATAAATATACCAGCATAAAATATTTAAATCCTGATTCAATATATTAAGCGCAATAAAAATAAAAACATTAGTAACATACAAGCATAAATGCGAGGGAAATTTAAATGTAATACAAAGATTAATGACATACCCTATACCTACAGGTTTAAGGCATTATAAAAAATGTAAAAATGTCCTAGAGATTTCAAACTTATATTCAGCTTTGTACCCTCATTTAAAAGATCAAATAAAAGTGTTCCCTCTTACGAAGAAGCACTGTATTGGTTGAGTCATGAACCATTTTAGTACTTTAAATTCATATATCAACCAAGCTATTCAGCAAACAGAATAGTTAATGACATAATAAACTAATTTATGTACCAGGAGCATTCTACTGACTCTTACATTTAAAATGAATTACAAGAATTTTATAATGATGATAGCTAAATTATAATTAAAATAAAGCATAGATTAATTACAATAAAACAATAGAAAATCTTACCCATCTTGCTCTTCAATATTGCCAGTGTAATCAACTAAAATGTCAAGATCTTCACACAAAGCCCTTTCAATTATACGAGTAGCTCGATCAAAAAACTGATGAAAATCTTCTCTCAGCATAATTTGTTTTTTCTCTTCTTCACTTAAATCACGTACTAAAAAGCATTTAACAAATTTAATGAAGATAATTTATCATTATCTTTTAACATAATTAAAAGATGATAATGTACTTGAAAGTCAAATTAATAATGAATAATCAGTTATTATGCAAAGCAAAGTAATAATTAAAATAGTTTCTAAGATAAATTAATTTTAATTTTATTCAACTGTAAGTCTTAGCATACTTAAAACACATACACATAATTATAAAAGTACTTTATTTTAATTTTATAATGAATGTGATGAGCTGTAATATAAATGTTCAATAAAAAGTTAAAACTTAATACACAGTCATGCAAAAACACATTGACCAGTATTATTTTCTTTTTTACTTCCCTTTTCTTCTTCTTTTTTTTTTAAATTACTTTTTAAAATTTGAGAGGAAACTTTTTAATAATAATTTAATAATCAACTCTTTTAAAATATACATAATAGTAAAGTAATAGTATAAATTATGAAAAACTCTAATTAAAAGGATAAAAATCATTTAATCAAAAATGATTTTATCCTTTTTTAATGATTTTAATCAAAGGATAAAAATCATTTAAAAAAATTCACTATGTAAATTAAAGTATTTTAGAAGAAATATATAGGGCAAGAATATTTTTAATTTTAATAAAAATTACTGCCAAAAAACTCATTTTATTACTTTTTTACCTTGAAGTTTGTGTGAAGTCAAGGTTGTGATACTTTGAAGTTTCAAATTCTCTGATTCTAATTATTATTTTGACTGTAATGAATGTTTGAGTTTTGACATCGTGAATTAAACAGAATTTTAAAAAAAAAATTGAAATTAGACAATTTAGTACTCATATTATTATTTTTTTCTATTTTAAAAACCTAACAACCAATTACTCCTAAAATAATTAAAAAAAATATAGGTAATGAAAATATCATGCATTACATACAGAATTAAACAGAAACATAAGAAAAACTTTCATTAAAAATAATGTTTTAAAATTGGTGACAAAAAGAAACTCTAGACTATTCGATAGACAATATTTATTCGTCGGACAATATTTATATACCATATATACCATGTTAAAGCCATGTCAGTCCACTTGTTTAAGATTCTCAAAGGTTTTTTGAGAAAAACTGATGACGTATAAGTTTAAAACTTATGAAAATTTTATTCATATCAATGAAACATTTAAATGCAGGCAAATATGTAATACATCATGGCAGAAAAAAAAATTCTTCTGTAATAAACATTAACAAAGCATTAAGAAAAAGCTTCCGACTAGTTTTTTTTAAGATACATGTTCAAAAATATTTAAAATAAGAACTACCTTTCTTTTCTTCCTTCTTTAACTCAACTGATGTAGATAGTCCAGTTGTGTCTTGTGCAGGACGAACCATTTCAACATGGGGTAAACCTTTGAGGGGATGATGGCGACTTGTGTACAAAGGGGGAGTATCTAAATCATGTGAGGCCAAAGAAGATCCTTCAACATCATCTTCCCCCGGCATCTCAGCATACGTCAAAACTGTGGATATGCAGAATATTCAACGAAAAATAATTGCTAAACAATCGTTTCATATCATAGGAATCATAAAACATTATTTAAATATTTATTAAATCTTATTAAAAAACTTATCAAGAAATGAACGAGTTTAAACGTTTTGAATAGAACGTGCTTTACTTCATTAGATGGTTAAAAATGGCAATGAAAGAAAATGGAAGGTTAAGATTAAGAAGAGAAAAATTTTAAACCAAGATTAAGAAAAAAGTAGGGATGTATTTTTCATGTTCAAAAGGTGTAAACATTCTTATTACTGTAATGTCTTAAGAATTAATAAATATTTGAGAGTTTCACATCAGTTTTGTATTTCTTAAAAACATTATTATTACCATAACAACATTAATATAAGTTTCAAGAATCAAATGTTTTCATATTGAAATAAGCAATATAATAGCTGTCAACATGGATAGGTAGGAAAAAATCCAGTAGATTTTACGAAATATAAATTCCATGATAATTTTGGCATAATGTACTAAATATTTTACACATAGGGATTTTTACAGTCAACTAAATAGAAAAACTGCAACATTTTCCAGTTATTATTAACATTAAATGAACTTGAAATGTTATGTATTATGTTTACTCATATTTTGAATAGTAATAGTCACTTAATTCATCAAAGATAGTTAAAAAAATTTTAATTAATTTAAAAAGGGAGTCCTGAATAAGAATAAAATGAACATTTTGGTACAAAAAAAAGTTTTAAATTAATTTTCATAAATGAAGCTCGCTTCATTATGCATTTGTAATACTTATTTAAATATTCAAGCAAGCAATAATCTGAGCAAAAATTCTATTTCAATAGGGATTTTTTTAGGAAACTTGCTCAATTTTAGGGAATTTTATAAACTTAATAAAAACCAGGAGAATTTTTATTAAACCAGTAAAGCAGGAGGAAGTGGCAAAATCTAGTAGAGTTAGCAGCTATGTAATATTATTAAATATGGATTTAAAGAAACTTGCCTTTATAAAGATAAACTTAACACTCATGTTTTGTTTAAGTAAAAGTTGAGATGTGGATAATTATAATAAGACAATATAGATAGAAATTGTTCATATTATGTCACGTCATATTTCCAATAAAAAATAGCAATATTATGCAAGGTATTTTAATTTACTAGTTATAATTTAATATAACACATTCAGTTTTTGTAGTTTTCCTCAGTATTTCAAGATATATAAAAATAATGCTACAAGAGTAGATAAACTACAATCTTAGCAAAACACTATAAATATTTCAAATTAAAGGTCATTTTAAAGTTACGTGGAATGGCAAACATTTTTCTCTTTGAATGCTAAACTTTGAAAAGGATATAGTTTTAACAACTAATAAGCCAGAAAACATACATTTATGAAGATTCAGAAAAATATTGTCTAATTAATTTTCTTCGTGGTTCTTTTTTTGAGTTTTAAGCCATATTTCTCTGTAGAAATAATATTTAACTTTTACTTGTAGATCCAACTACTTCTAACTTCACTGGTAGTTGATCTTGAGTTCTTAAAGCAAATTTTTCTATTCTTTTGAATCAGTAAAATATGTTTCAGATATTTTTAATTAGCGATTTCTTCCTCTACATTCCATTTATTCTTTAAACACAATTTTTTTTCCCTTCAATCTCATCTCAATCCTGATGCTTTTCAAAAGTATTATTACAAGCATAAAATATTATTCCAAGTGCTTGTAGTTTGTGCTTTTATTCTATAAGTTCTAAAGAAAGTTCTGATTAAAATTCATTCTTTTAAATGAATATATGACTGATGCTTCGATTCTAATATGAAATCTAATCAAGAATTGAATAGAGAGATTTTTTTTCAAGAAATTAGTTTAGTAATGCTAGAAGATACATCAATAAAAACATACAGGCCATTCAAATACACATAAGCACTTTAGGGGAAGGGTTTTTGGTATTAGCTAATTTCTGCTGTTTAAAGAGACTTTAATAAGAATAGCTTATGTAAGATTATGTTATCATAAATTCCTTTTATCATAAAAATCCCTTATAAACAGAAGAAAAAAAATTTTAATTTTGAAAAACAAATCTAATGCTAAAATGAAAATGGGGTAAAGGGTTGCAATTTACTTAATATTTAATAACAAGAACAGAGGTAGTTCACAATCATAAAAAAACATGCTTATGTTATAATTGAACAACTCCATATGAAAGACATGAATATTTTGTAAACAATGAATATTGAATATTTGAAATAAAATGTTGAAGAAATTTTAGTTATGATAGATTTTTTTCACACATTCTAATCAATGAAAACCTAAATCAATGAAAATAATAGTAATAAAAATTTAAATGTGGGAAACAAAAGAAAAAATAGAACTTTTCCCATTAAATAATAGAACGAGAACAGTTATATAAAGACACAAAAAACTAGAAATTATTGTTAAGAGGGAAACTTAAAAAGTAAGTTTCTAGTTTTATCTAAGGTCATGCATTCATTATTTTCATCATTAAAAAAAAAAAGAAAAGAAGGATAATGGTGAACAAGCAAAGCATGTCACAACGTCACTAACAGTTTTGAGGATAGGGTTTTGTAGATGACCTACCTTGAAATTCATCATCCCATTCTACAGGTTTGAGTTTTTTTAATGATTCCGGAAGAATTGGAATAAGAACAGGAAAATTACTTATTTCTAACAAATCTTGCATAAAATTACATATTTAAAATTCAATAAAATAAGCAATAACTTTGTGATAGTGAATATAAAACATACTCATTACTTATTTAGAAATATTAAATTATTACATACATAAAAAAATTATAAGTCTGTAAAAACATTTCCCTAATTAAAACTTAAGAGTCTAAGTTTTCATATATTAAATAAAAAATGTTTATGAAACAACTGCTGTTTATTAAAGAGCAAGATATGAAAATTAAGCAAAACTAATTCTTGAGCAGAGAAAAATTAAGAGTCTTATCAAAATGTAAGCCTTTTCAGCAATTTTAAAGTTCATAAAAAGAGAAAAAAAAACTACTCTACAGTAACATGCAAATGCTTGATAAAAATATAGCAAACAATAAAAACAAACTATCATATAAAAGTACATTTTTAAGCAAGTTTCCACTTCACAATAATTTTTAAATTCTATTAAAGTTTCAATTTAAAAAAAATAGTGACCTATAACTTTTGAAATTTAATGTTTCAAAAAAAAAATCACTGTACATTTATTTATGCAATAATGGATAATTAATTTGAATAGCTGAATTAAAATATTTTAGACAATTTTTAGAGTGCACTAATAAAATACTATGTTCACTTTCAGTAGGTTAAAATGGAAATGAAAGTAAGTAAAAAATCAATGATTTATACAAGATAAAATTACTTATTTATTACAGAAAATTACAATATAAATAATTAGGCTTATTTTTTATTTTTTTAAAAAAGAAATTAACATTTCAGAATGCTAAAAGCGTTTGGAATTCACACAAGAAAATGTAAACAATGTTTACCTTCATCCCAATGAATGACTAACAAAATGAAATTAATTAGAATAAACACTGCAATATATTAAAAACAGAAAGTAAGCAATTCAAAGAATATAATACAAGAAATTACTCACCATAATAATCAAGAGGATGCGCTGTAAAAGAAAAGAAAAATATTACACTTACTAAAGTAATTTAACTTGTTCAATTAAGAAACCATATTCCTTAGATCAACAACAAAAAAAATTCCACACCTCATTTGTCATTAGAATTTATTTTTTAATTTATTTTTAAAAATAAAAATCGTAACGGTTTATCAAATTCTGTTTCAGTCAACTAACTAAGCAACACAGAGAATTTTTCAGCACAACATAAAACACATATTCCGCATTTTCAGTTTAAATTCATTTCTTACCAGTAGCCGAAAAATAAATAATAATTATCTTTTGGAAATAAATTTTTACATTAAACAAAAAGTTAACAGACAAGTTCATGCATATCATGAAAACTGCATTTCTTACAGAGAGGACTTTTATTAAGGAACAGTGAAAATACTATAGGAAAATAATAAACTACACACTATGTTTACCAAAATTTGAAATAGTTTTAAAGCAACGAGTTAAAAAATTTTGAGGAGGGACTTCTGGTATTATAATAATGTGTTTAAAAAGTCAAACATCATTAGGCTTATTTTCTGACTAGTGATCAGATAATAAAAATTTCAGGGAAATGTTGTATGAGTGACACAAACACAGGAAATATTACACTAATCTGATTCATCTTTCACTAAAATATTTTATCGTCCAATCAGAGAAAAGCCCTGTAAACCTGGGTGGGTAAGAAATAACAGGACAATAATAGCAAGAAAGGAAAATTACATGTCTAAACAGTTAAAAATAGTTTCAACTAACTTTTTTACTACATTCTCAATAAATCTAAAAATGCAGATTTTCAGCAGTCTAAAAATTTTACAATGCTTAAACTTATCGTTAATTTTACATTAAGAATCTGGAGAAGGAAAAATGCCATAGTTTTATTATTAGTTTAAAGTTCATTATAAGTCATAATGCACAAAACAATACAAGTAAAAAAGAAACAATCCAAGACCAGCGTGAAGTAATCATCAACCTTTAAGTATTGCATTTTAAGTAGTAGCCTAATTATTTTCCAATAGTGTTATAAAAAGGAAACTGAAAAATCTAATTGATATTCCAAAAGCTGCATTTTTTCAACCAGTAAAATAAGCATTAATACAGTTGATTACATAAAGTATAACAATCCGAGTTAATAACACTAAAAAAAATTATGGTTTACAAATTGGAAAACATAGCTAAAAATAGCGTCATTTATAAATTGAAAAAAAATATCGATTAAAAATTTGAACCTATTAAGAAAAACCTGAATTTAAAACTTTTCTATAAGGTTTTTTTTTAAAAAAAACCTTCATAACTCTGTATTGTTATTTAAAAACAGCTTTCACAAATGAGCACATATGAGAGAATATTTCTTCTTTACCCACTAACCCTATCAAATAACATTAAAAAAAATTGAATTGTTAGGTATGAAACCATGCAATAGGGGAACTAATAGATAGTTTAATAATGATAAAAATATAGAGATACTGACAAGAGTTGAAGTTTCAAGTTGAGTATTAAGTTTTTAAGTAAATTGAAGTGTTTTTAAAAAAAATTCTGAAAACTGAAGAGAAACAATAAATAAATAAATATAAGTATAAATATTTTTTTCTTAATATAAATTAAAAGTGTTCCGCTCGAAAATCATAAAGGCAAAAAACTAACAAATACTAAAATAATTTCTCATGAAAAAAAAAGAAAGAAAAAATATTTTTACCAAAAAATATTGTTTGCCACAATACACCAAAATGTGTGTGACTGTTAAATAAATGATTCAGAGCAGTTTTAAAACAGCCAATTAATTAAAAAAAATGTTTAAATATAAATTGTTATTTTTTTTTCTTCTTTCAAATTCAATGCCTATCAACCCTAAGATAAAAAGAATTCTTGCGTTATGACTGATAATGTTTGAGATTCACATAAAATAATTTTGTAATAACTACCATGAATTTCATTTAAAGCTTTATCTTAGAAGAACAAACCTTTACGTGTCCTCCAATGATAGCCATTATCCTTATAAGGAGAAGAGCTCTGAGAGCCTTGCATTGAAAAGGAAACAAAGAAATAAATTCACAATTGCATGAAAAGAACAGCAATGTAAATTAACCAATATACTAAGAGTACGCTGACTACAGTATTATTAAATCAATTTTTAAGCCTATATTCTCAAATAGTTTAAAGTAAATTCATTTAACTTTGTTATATTTTAAATTCATTTGCTCTACTATGGCAATTAAAGTCAATCATAAAGAAAATGTTACCATAATTGCCTTAAAAAAAACTAACAAGAATAATAGTAGCAATATTAGAAATGGTAGTAATATTAGAATTGGATTAGATGCAATTTTGATAATTGGGAGATAGGGTGACCTCATTCTTGAAGAATGTTGAAGTATAATTAAGGTATTAATTAATTAAAGTATAAATTTAAGAGAATAAATAAGAATTCCTTGAAAACTGAATAATATTATTACTGGATAATAATAACATTTATTTTTATTGGGGAGGGGAGAAGAATAAGCCTATTTCCAATATGAGTATTGAAAAATAGTTAGAAGTCGTAGAGTCTGTCATATATTCAAGAAATATAATTAAGTAAATAAAAACTCTTTGTATATTCATTAACAATGTAAAAAAATATTTTCCGATAAATGTTATAATTAAATACAAATGTTTTCACAGAAATAAGCAGCAATTGTGGGATTTAAGCAATGCCAAAAAAAATAGTTTATTGATTTAAACCACTCAAAAAAGACTAATTAAAAGAAAAGAGACGAAAAAAATTTTTAAAAACAAATTTCAAAATCTTTGGCAAAATAAAAAGACAATGTTATTTAATTATAGTAATGCATAACTACCAACTTTTAAATTATTTATAAATGATATTTTCTAGTGGCAGCCAATTTTACGCTATAATAAAATATTCCAGGTTTAAAAAATTGAGTTTAAAGTAATTTTAACCACCACACTATAAAAAATGTAAAAAAGAGTATAAGAACCCAGAAAATTACGCCTTAGATGTGTAAAAACTTGGCAAAATTTAAAAAATTGTTAATAACTTGGATGCATTTATTTTGCTTTTCAACTACCACTATGAAAAATTTTTGGTGAAAATATTATAAGTTGCCAGCTATGGTAAAATGATTTGATAATTGGAGCTGCAATTTTGCCCTTTTAAAACATTTTATAGATTGACTTTTGAAAGGGTCAAGAACAATAATTATAAAATACTTGAAACTATAAATAGAAATTTTCAAAAGCAGCTTAAGATAAACATTTCACCAAAAGTACACCAATTAACCCACTTTTGTAACAAAATCTATAATGACTCTGAACAAATCTAAAGCAGTTTTATGAATTAATTTATTTTATTAAAAAAACAAAATTAAATGCTTGATTTAATTTTGCCTTTAATGCCTAAATTGTAAAAGGAAAAAAAAGAAATACAACATTTCATACTCATTTAAAATAATTCTACATTTTTTACCAATTTTTCTACTTAACATGTTTACATTTTATTCAAAACGAAATAAAATCAAAAACATTTTTAATGGGAACACAGAATCAGAGGTACAGATATATTAAACCAATACTTAATTCAATTACCTAATACTAAAAAAATTGGATGAAATTTCATCTAAAAGTGTCTAAATTAATTTGCAGATTTAAACACAATGGAAACTTTTAACATATCTTTTTCTCTTTTGTTACATTTTTATAAATTTTAAAAAGAGTAGAACTGTATAGCTCAGATAAGCTTTCTTTTTTTATAGCACACAGTACATGTTCAAAAAAAAATACATTACAATTTTGCATACCGAAGTTCATTTTAGAAAATTATTTGTAAAAAAAAATCTACAACCTAAACATTAGAAATATCTTTTAAATCATTATGTCATGATATAAAATTGTAATAATGGTTATTTTCACCACTAGCTAGGTATTGCAGTTTCCTACAATGATAGACATCTGATGCATAAATTTAAATAAATTTTGTACCAAATTTTAGTCAAATTTTTCTTATTAAAAAGTAAAATAATAAAACAAATTTAAATTCATAAATAAAACAAAAATCTATATATGTTAGATGTGAATGGTAAGATATCAAATAAAAAAAGCCTCTAAAGAGTAGCTTCACACAACAAGTTTAAGGGCATTCATTTGACCAACATATTTTCAGAGGAAGTAATTAGAATTTTAGCACCATAATTAAAGACTGAAAACTAAAAATAGTTCTGTGTAGCACCCTATCAAGATTCTTTAATAAAGTGAGATGGCAAATAACACTATTAATTATTTTTGAGACATGCCATACAAGTGAATTTCTGCTACCGGGTATATATATATATTTTTATTTTGCTCAACATGAGGCAAGCATTGTTTTATATGTGATAAAACCTCCGAGAATTATCTTAATAGTATGTTTTAAAAAATATTAAAATGCTAAATTTACCACGGTAAAATGATTTAGCTGAATAACAGCTCATTGAACACTGTATAACAACTGCTATATTTCCAACAATAAGATGTTATATTAATATTGTCAACATTAAAAATATATTTTTTAACAAATTTAAATAATCCTAATAGTATATATCATTAAGAAGTTTTTAAACAAGAAACTTATACAGTTAAAATAAATTTTGATTAACATAATTTCATGAGAGGTTTAACTGTATTCTTAGCCTAAAAGTGATACTTATACCTAGATATATTAAAATATACAAATATATAAAGCTGTAAAGCATGCTAGTAAAAAAATTGAAGTTTACTTTAGTGCTTCAAAAATAAGGCATAAAAAGCAAAAACAAATATTTTTGAGCAGCACTTTAAGCACAGAAGAAAATTTGCTGAACATGCAAAAGCAGTAAACTTCGATTAATGTAAAAGGTAGGTTTGTCACACTCACCACCAGGAGCATGAGGAGCTGCATGTACAAAATTAAAACATTATTTTTTTTAAATAACTAGCTATAGAGAATATTATACATTAAAAATGGATAAAAATGCTTTCCAATATTTATATAGTTTAGTGAAACATTATAGGAGAAATTATTTCTCTTATAATGTAATTAAATTAATTACTAATTGTTAAACTCAAAAATCGAACAAACACTTTTGATCACAAACTGTTGATACAAAATGACAATTAATAGGTTCAGATTAAGATAACTTATAAGCCTAATCTAACTTCAAAACATTTTAAAATTTTGATACATAAATAAAACACCACAATAAAATGAATGATAAAAAGTAAACAAACTTTTTTTAAAAACATAAATGGAATTTTAAATAGTAAAAGCCAAATTCTAAAATTCAAAAAAAAAATTCTAGGATTTAAAATAAAATGTTTTTTAATTATTAAAACTGAATTTGCTTAAAATCTTTAAAATACTTAAGTGTATATACGAGGCCACTAGTTATTTACAAATACAATAAAATAAAACATACAAAAATTTTTTAATACTTTTAATTAGTTTAATTGTTCAAGAAAAATTACAACACAAGAATTTTATATTCTTCCGCAAACAATTTCGCATATTTTATAAAAATATTACAAATCACTTTAAAAAATGTTTAACTGTCATTTAAAATTTACCATCAGTTATTTTCCATCTTCACTAACTGACCTGAACAAAAAAATCTATGCCTCTAAAAACAAAACTGACCCAAGGATGATTGTTAAATCGATTCATTCGCTTGTATAATTTTTACATGAGATAATTTAGATCTTTAAGTATTTTAAGTGAGAAAAGTTTTTTTAACAATTAAGAATATAGTACAGTATTCTAAATAATTTTTCTGAGTCAAAAATAATCAAATTCAAGTCTAAATGACAAACTCTTGTGAATCAATATTGATCAAATTCAGATCTAAATGACAAACTCAATTAAGCAGAAAGCACACAAATTTTTCCATCCTTAAGATACAAGCTAAAATCTTTGTTAAGGGGTCTAAAAAACTTCTTTAACCATCAAAACGTTGAGCTGAACAAAATTGTATAGAAATTTCTCTGTCATGCATTGCTTTTTCATTGCATAACTTAAGATGAACATTGTTTTATGATGCTCGAAAGCCTTAGAATCAGAACAATAGCTCAGAGAGTTTAAATGTAATTTTAGAGTATGAAAGTAAAACAAATTGCTTACATGAAATATAATAATGGAAAAAAATATTTCATTACAATAAGTTTAAGATATTGATTAAACATAAAAACTTAAAATACCTTCTCTGTCTTGGCCTGATGCTGCAGTTTGAGTTTGTTTGTTATAAATTACTCTTTCTTTAGGTGGAATATTAACTTGGTTAACACTAACTAATGTTAGACATGGCTTCCTGAAAATACAGATTAAAATAATTATAAAAGTTGAAATTGCAATAATTAATTGAAATTTAAAATAAAGTAAAGACGGAAAAAAACATTATTTCTTGACAATATTTATTTTTAAAAAATAAATTACAAAACATTTCTCTATTTATATTTAAAAAAAAATTGTGACACCTAAAGGTCTGGTTTCTTAGGACAAGCGCCTTATCTGGGCATCAGCGGAAAGTTGACGTAGAGCTGACGTCAAAAAAATACTTTTTTGTTAGCTTAGCGTGAGCAGTCGGTCCAACGCAGACATTAACAAATATTTATTTTGAATTTGTATTGATTTTGTTATTGTCGACCAGTGTTTTAGAGAACAAATAATGACTTTGTCCAAGAAAAAACACATTATAGAAGAGCTAAGTTTAATGCTATGTTTAATGTCAAAATCAAAATCTTGGCTGATTTCAATGTGCTGTTGGATGTTGTCCGCCATTGCTTCTGTGGTTAATGTCACGTTGTAATCCAACTGCAGTTGAGTTGGACGGCAATTGTAGTTCAAGATGTGCGTTCGATGACGTATGCTATCAAACTCACAAATGGACCAATCAGAGGTTAGCGCTGATTTCCAGCTGACGGCGTCCTGTCCTAAGAAACCAGGCCTTAACACAGGCTTTTAAATTTTTGCTTCAGAATTTTTTTTAGCAACACCGAAATTTCCCATTTGCCAAAAACTGTATTTGTTCTAGAAAGTTGCTCAAAAGTTTTTCTTTTTTTGGAGAGGAAGCAAAATAAATAACATAAAATTTACACAAAAATATTTATTATCTAGTTTTATTTGACATCAAAAGTTTTTATTATAATTAAAACTATTTCATTGTTGCAAGGTAAAATGTCAATTAAACAATACAAATAGGCAGCTAAATTCATTTTTATTGTTAGAAATTTTAAATGCCAAAATAAAAACTGAAATCTTTAAGTTAAAGCTGAAATCTTAGCTAAAGTGATTGACATTTGGATTTACAATTACATGTAATATATTCCGATAGATGTATTAGTGGTTAAAAAAATTAAAAACTATAATAGTACAATAATAACAGTACAATAATAATGAAAACATTTAACTTAAAATATGCACTAAAAGATCATGCCTTGGGTTCCAGGATCCTGACTGGGGTGCAGATGAAGGCTGACTATCAGGAGGTGAACTTCTTGTCTCAGGAGTGGCAGATCGAGGAGATGAGCCAATACGAGAAACTGGTGATTCTATTTTATAGAATAAAATATAAGATAAAACATGCAGTACTTAAAATGATACTCAGAAATTAGAAAGACAATTACATAAGGAAAAGTTATACAATTTATAATTTAATTTAACAAACTTCAATTTTCAACGAAAATAATTTTTACAGCCATCTAATAAAATATTTAAAAATCAAAGTTTATATTATAATAATTAAAATTATGTATTTATATTAATCTTAAATATTAGTAAACTAAAAACTAGTACATTAAAACAAGGAAAAAACTTTCAGTATTTCATTGTAATAAATTTATAGGAAAGTAGTAAATTTTCACAAATGACAAGTGAACTTTTCATTGAAGAAATTTCTATTCTACTTTAAAGAAATCTATCATAATATTATTATTTATTTATCGCTAAGATATTAATAATTTTTAGTTTTTCCTTCCTCCTTTTGATACCATTTTATCTCAAAAAAGGTTTCAAATTAAAGCGAAAGTGAAATGTTTTAGGACAAAAAAATAGAGGTAAAAAACAATTTTAAAAAATAATAAATAATTAAATAAAAATGTCACAAAAAAAGATGAAAATAACAGAAATTTAACATTAATGCTTCTATACACAACAAGTTGCTTATAATTAAAGACAAGCACAAACAAATCATTTTGTAAGCTACCTTATTTACAAAAGATTGGGACATTAAACAAAAAAATATAATGTTTCCAAAATTTTTTCAAACAATTTGCTGTTGAAAAAATTATTGAATTATGAAAAGAAGAGCAATTAAGCTGAAGGCCAATAAAGATTTACTTTCAATTGAAAAACTCTCTCAATCTTATTTAAAAAAAAAAAAAAGAGTTTTTTTAAAAAAAAAAAATTAAATAACCATCATATTTTGCATGCTTTAAAAGCGTAAGCAATACATGCTTAAATATATTTTAAAGTAAATAATTAAAAATAATTGATCTCTCATTAAGTGAAGACTTTGTGAATCACTATACAGAAATTTTAATCAGTATCTTCAATATTTTTCATCAATTTAACTTTAATTAAATAACAAAGTCATGTAAAGGTTTTAAAAAATTAAAAAGAAAATTATAAACCTTTTGATTTATCAAATAGAGTAGAATTTTGAACAAAAATAAAATTTTGAATTCATATGTTTTTGGAACTCAGATTCAATAGGGTAAACACAATGTTACACACATCAAAACATCAATCTATAAAAGTATCAGTTTGAACATTTAAAATATATTACAGAAATTAATTAAAATGCTGGCTTTTATTTTTAGAGCAGGCAAACTTCAAAGGTAAAAATACAAGTTAAAAATGCAATACTCTTTCGTCAATACCAAACAGTATTCATTTCAGCAGATTTTGGAAATTTAACTTAGAAGTCACAATAAATGTTCATTATGCCATTTTCAAATTAGAATTGCCCCTTTTTTCCCCACACCAAGTTGCCATTTTTCTTATGCTATTTGTCAATAAACACAAAAACTTTGTTTCAACTTCTCTCAGGTTTTCACTGTCATAGCTCTTAACTACTAAAATAGTTGTCTTAAAACAATGCACTAATTGTAAAATTGTTGATTTATTGGATACTAACTGGCAAACTAACTGAATATTTCCTGAAAAAACAATATGAACTACAGAAAAAGTCTTTTTATATATATATATATATATAAATCAAATGAATCAGGCAAGTTTGGATTCTTGGCATTGTTCAGATAGTTGAAACATTTAGGATGAGCTATGATGCAAAACTATCAGACACATGTTTCCTTATATTTTGCAAAAAAAAAAAAAATAATAATAATAATAATAATTTAAGAAATCTAAAAGCTTTAGATCAAAATTGTAAATCCTCTAGTAATAAAAAATAAAAAAAAACATAGATTAACAATATTTTCTGTCAAGTGAGTGAACCATGGTACTGAGAGTTATTTTATGTTCTACTACCCTTCCCACATTAACTATTGAGACATATATACTTTCAGTTGACCCTTGCCTCGAAAGTTATTCAAAAAATCTTCACAATAAGGCTGTTTTTTTAAGATTTTAGCTTCTACTCATGCCAACAGTAACAAGAAGGTATGTATTTCAATGAATACATACTTATGAGTAGCACCTAAAAAAAGCAAAATATATGTGGGACATATTTGGCGTGAACTTAAAGTTGCAAGAAACTGAAAATTTTGTGCAAGTTTCAAGGAAACTGACTTCACCAAAAGTGTGAAATTTGCTATAAAAGGAGCCTGAAGCATAATAGAAACAAAAGTAATTTATAGATCTATGGTTACTAATTCAACTTTTATATAATAAGGGTCTGGACTTTTAGAACTGTATTCAATAGTAGTTGAATATATAAATAATTAGAAGCACACTGTAAATAGTTTTAAAAAATGTGATTTAAGCTCAGTATGAGAGAAAATGAGTAATAACTTTCAGATTGTTTAGACAAGTAGCATGTTTAAAAAAAAAAAAAAAAAAAAAAATTAAAAAAAAACAGCTCTAAAAATAGACCAATGTCTCTTTTAAAAATAAAATATAGATAATAAACAAATTTTTTTTACCACTAGCTGGAATTCCTAAAGATTCTAATAACTCTTCTGTTTGAGCTCGCAAGTCTTTATCAGGTTTGGCAGCACCATTTTGAGTCTTTGACGCCTCTTCAGCCTATAATGTTTGTTTTTTTTTAAATATCATAATAGCAACATTTGATGTCACTTCCTTCATTATGTGCATAAAATACATGGTTATTTTAATGCATACCTCTTTTGCTTTTTCTCTTCTTCTCTTTTCTTTTTCCTCACGAATCAAAGCAAGCTTTTGTTTCTTCCGTTCTAATTCTTGTCTTCGATCAGACATTGTCAATATTTAATAAATACCTGCAAAATGTATCAAAAATGTAGTAATTTAATGATAAAAAAAGAACTATAAGACAAAATATATGTAATTTTTATAGATGAAATATCCCACAAATTCAGTTTATTTTTCCATCATTATACAGTCCCTACATAAAAAATAAAAAAAATACATTTCTAAAACCTCTGATCTGAAATACTTTTCTGTAAAATAATTAAGTGCAATAAAAGCATTCAACATTTTTAATAAAAAGTAAACCACTAAAAAGAGCATTAATAATTATTGACAGGATTTGCCAAAAGGGAAACCTCAAAAGAAAAAAATTGCCCATTTTTTTTTTTTTCGGATTGGCCCACTTAAAAAGAACCCACTTTTTTTAGGTGGGTTCATTTTCAAACTTTATTGTACAAGATCAATAGATTTTATTTCAAAAGCAGAGGAATGTGCCTTTAATTAGGATGGAGGTAGGAGTATCTGTTCTTACAAAGAATATATTAGGGCTTTCAAAACTTTATGAATATTTTTTCACTTATATTCAATTGTTAGTAGCAGTGTATTTTTGCTATATTAATCAAATTTACAATACAAGTTCTTAACTTTTAATACATAAATTTTGGAATTTTAGAATATCCAGGCAGATTGCAGTTATTTAATAACAGTGATAAAAATAGTGTATGTAGGAGACATATCTATTCATTTATTTAATAAAAAAAAATTTAGTTCTTTTTTTTTTTTAATAAATACTTTTAAAGATGGGTTTACTTTTTCAGAGAAAATATTTCGCTTATTTCCTCAATAGATGGCTGCACTGGTTAGCGCTGCTTATTAGCGAATTCTTTTTAAGTTTTGATGGTGCAAAACATAATTTGCCTCCAGGTGGCCCCACTATTATAGGTTTTAAATTAATTCACAATAGTAATATTTTTCTTAAATTTCAATTATCTTTTTAAACTGAGATTTTTTGGTTGAATTATGTGTATATATATATTTAATTAGTATTGTTTTATCACTTTTATAAAGTATTATCTAATGATGATGATGATGTATTCCGCTGGATGATGAACTAGACCAGAGCCACTGGATGATGTACTAAGCCAGAGCTACTGGTGGTTGAACCGAGACCGGAGTCGCAAGGAGAATGAACTGAGGCCGGAGCGATAAGTGAAAGAATGGAGGCAAACTGCTTTACGAGAAGGAAGCCTGCAAGGAGGGTTAAAGCGCGGTCTGTCGGAAATTGGATTATTGTCATGCTCCACGAGATTTGGCTGCAGCACCGGTGGGAGTCAAGGAAGTTTGTCCGTAATTAACTTTGATTTTAGAAACTTTAAGGTTAGGATTTGCCATAAAACTAATGAGCAAAATCATTTTTCAAACATTTACCCCTAATGGAATAATTAGATTTTTCAATCATTTGCTTACGGCTTTTAGCATGGTGAAGGTTGTTATTCTGGCGTATTTATTTTATTAGCTGTAAAGAAAAGGTTAAACGATTCTTCAAATTGGAGGCTAAATTTGCTGATGTCCAAATTTCAGAAGCCCAAAGATAATTGTTCTGGAGAAATATCAAAACAAAAAATTTAACAAACCAAATAAGTATTTTAAAATGTATTCAAAATATTTGTGTGAGGCTCTTATTTAGAGAGCTCTTTTAGACGATACCTCACATTACAATCAGAGTGCACTAAAGACTATGCAGTCATTGACATACTTTTAGAATTGAAAGTTAAATTAGAAAAAAAGTTATTTAAGAAAGAAAAAGCATCTCAAATAAACAAACCTCTTCTCATTTTTTAAACCCAAGTTATTTTTATGATCTAAAATTAAATGCAATGTTAAACAAAAAACAATTGTTTATTTATTTAAAATAGCTTTATCATACATAATTGCTAAATTAATTTTTACACATAATTATATCAGTTGGAAGCATTTTTATAGACGCTAATTCTTATTAATCGATCCGTCTTTTCATGACGCCAATAGAAGTGCATTTCCCCAAGAAGAAAATGACACTGACTAAAATTAAAATTGTTTGCAAAAAATAATGTACCTAGGATAACAATTTTGAAGTCAATGGAGATAACCTCTAAGAATGGCCAACTCCAACTACCATTTTACTGTAAAACGGAGAGTGGTTGCTCCCAAGAAGTTTCAATGCATTATAATATGCAAATATAACAAAATGTCTTTATAATTACTTGTAAATAATTATCACATTACAATACTTTTATTCATTATTATTTTTTCTGCAGCAATAACTTGACCGATTAACACCAACCTTATATTAATTAGATCCATTTATCTCATTTTATATTTTAACACCAGTTCAATTTAGATGAGAGGAGAACAACAATGAGAAATGCAAAAATGCTTTTACTAAGTCTAAAGAAATACAGCAAAATTAAAAAATACATTCTATGAAGCCAAGACTGACATATTATTAACACTAAAATGCAATTTGAAGAGCTAAGTTGCTTTTTAACCACTTTGGAAAAAGAAACATTAACTTTAACAAAATTTTAAATATAGAAAACAGCTCATAATAATACATATGCTAATAATAAATATGTTTCAAAATATGCTAATGTTACAAACTATATATTTTGCATAATTGAATTGGGTAATTCAACTTTAAGTTCACTGTCAGCACATATCATAAGCTGCAAGTAATTAGTAACTTGAAACAAAGCTGTTACTAATTTGAAAGATGTGATATAGCTAGGTTAGCCAAACCTAATGATCCTTTTAAGATTAAACTGTTCGCGAATAATTCATAGTTTCTAATAACTTAAATATTAACTAGAAATATCATTTCCTAGTACTTCAAAAGAAGAAAGGAGGTGAATTAAAAGAGTATTATGAGTATATAAGAATGGGTGTTTTCTACGTTAACTTCAGTCTTACTTGTTATAGAACAAATGCAGCTCATTTCTTATTTTTTATTAAATACACAACGAGAGAAACTATGTGCGTAAAAATATAAATGATAATCAGTAAAAAACGTCACTTATGTCATAAACTGCATTTGCTCCTTATTGTTATAAAACACTTACTAAAAATCAAAATTCTTCCAAACTCTTGTGCTATAATCAAATATTAGAGGCGGTATAAAACATTGTTCTTCAAAAAACAAGTTCTTAAAATTTATAATAAACAGGACAGATAACAAAGATGGTTCTAAGTTTCTCTAGTTAATTTATCGTTCCGTCACCGCTTATCAACAACGATAGTTTTTTATATTTCACAATACGAAACTTTTCCGAAACTGTAAAACAATGTTTTTGAAGAAACATATATTTAATTTTCAGGAAATTTTGAAGCAGCACACATTAATTAAAGATTGTTTATGTTTTCAGCAGGCAGCAGACCAAACGCCTAGAACCAAAAACCAAACAGATGTTGCCAACTAAATAAATAATTTATGAGTCAAAAAATAAATATTTCAAGTCTTATTTACACTAACGCTATATAAAAGTGCATTCCTTTTTCACACTTTTTGATTGATCCGCACTTTGAAAACTGGTATCATGTGACGTGAGTTTCACGCGTTCACACTAAGAATAAGCGAATGGTTAGTTTTCAAAAGAATTAGATTCTCTTCATTTTCGGAATTGAAGAAAAAAATTTAATAACGATTAATATTTTGTTTCTTAGTTACCGCTATTTTTTAAATTTTTACCAATGAATATACATTTCTTGATATTTAAAAATTCCTTTATTAAGCAATAGTGTATTTTATGCTATAGTTAAGATTTTGTCTAACTTTTAAATTCAATTAAAAAGAAAACTTCTATTATACATAAATTTATAAAAAATAAATCAATCATAAAAAATACAAATCATTCTTTAATAATTATTTTGATTCTTGCCAAGTCAGAGTTTAAAAATACGAAGTAAAAGAAAATTAATAAAAAACGAAAAAATTTTATTTTTAAACACAGCCAAAATAATTAGATTTTATATTAAAACGTTTTTCAAAAATATTTTCCTCTTTCTTCAGCATTCTATTCATGCTATATAAACAATTATTTTCTGAGGTGAAGTTTTCAATATTACTATATGGTTATACTTTATGATACAAGTAATGATTGTTAAAATTGTTAAATTAATTAAAAAGCGGCCTTTTAGCTCTAAATGGATTTATTGTTCTTTCTATAATAACATTTTATAAGAAATTAGAAAAAAGAGAAAAATTAAATCCATAAAAGAGGAAAATTAAATCCGTCATTTTATACAATGTACATATTGGCTTTACTAAAATGGAATTTTTTGTGCATAAAATAATTAACTATAAACATTTAACTATTATTTTATAATCATGTAATACATGAATTCATGTTAATTAATAACAGCAATGAAATATTCATGGTAAATAGGTGGTATGTAAGGTAATAAACCCCATCATAATGTTGTACTTCATTTTTTTTTTCAAAATGTTTCGACATATTTGTAGGCATATATAAGTAATTTCTTTAAAAAATGCCTGGTTTACGGTATGTTGCAAAAGTAACGCGATTGCAATTTTAGATTAGCGGAATTCCGAAAATTTTTTGTAGGAACATAAAATATGATTTCGCGGAATTCCGCAAATTAGAAGAATCACATGCCTGAATAAAAGCACATAATACTCCCCTTTTATCGCTTGACCTTTCAGTAAGTAAGCGATCAAGATTTTTCCACAAACAAGCATACCAAACAACTTAGGCCAGAAACTTGCAACCCGATTTCACACCGTCCTTGTCTTCTTTGGAGATGGACTCCTTTGAAATATCCACTTCTTTGAATGTTCCTTTGTTTCCGGCGTGTAGTAGATGAGGTGTATCAATGGTTTATCCATTTATCGATGCAATAACTCGTCGAGTTAGCAAAGCAAAAACCTCAAAACAATTTCTGAATCTCGGTGCAGTTTATTCTCCACAGAAAGCAAATGAGGCTGCCATCTAGCTGAGATTTTCTTTATACTCAATTTTTCTTGCAAAATTAAAAATGCATTACTTTGTCACATGGTTGCCTCAACTATTTTGCGCACCTTCATTCAATTTAAAATAGGTAGGTATTTCAATTACGTCGCAGTGGAATTGCACAAAATGCTGTTGCCGACGATCTGGGAAACTCCCTGAGGATGGTCGAAGACGAGCCAATCTTGATCCTCTGTAGAGAGGATGGCTCTCCTGCTTTGGTAGTCCGACAATCTGCACGCGAAGTCGAGTTTAATGAAGACCGATACCACGCACCCTCGGTTCTTACGCAGGCTGATCAAAGTGGTAACCCAACCGCTTACTCACCGCAGCCAGTGATGCTGACTTCGTTGTTCTACTTGATTCAATTTAAGCATATTTAATCTTCAAACTTTAAATTTTTTTTTTATCTATATTACTTCATTTATTTATTTAAAGAATGTTTCAAAGCTATGATTCCCCAAATCATCTCATTATCTAATAATAATTTCCCGTTTTAAACTATAATGTTGAAATGTATATTTTTGGAACTTTTGTGGGAACTGTAAAAAAGTGTAAAAATTGTGGTCTAAAAAATATTTAAAAAAAAAAAACAGCGCTGTTAAATCTGTAGAGTCAATAGTGAAGAGGTGGATGATAAACATAAAACCAATTTGATTGCCTTATGAAATTTGGAAGTGTTTTCAATATTTACATTTAAATTTTTTCTGTTCCTTACAGCAATAAAATAGATTTTGATGCATTCAGCTCAGTATTCTTCTGTAGTGATGTTAGATTATGAGAGCTTTTTTTTGCTTTTTAATTGCTTGAATATTGATATCTGCTTATAATGTTTAGGCTTTTTGACTTTCTTTACAAGGATTCTAAAAATATATGTAAATAGTAGCAATCACAAAACACTATATAGATAAAGGGAACAACAGTCTCAATAATCATAAACAATTTGATGAAAATGATTTCTTAAGTACTAAATCTCTTGTTAAATGCATAAAAAAAGTATTATTCCGTTGAACGTTGACTTTTTATTCAAATAATGAGAACAGTTTCATTGAAAAACTAATGATTTATTAAAAATAATTTATTTCCTCGATGACAACTGTGATATCATCATAGTGATTTTGTCTGACAAAGTTCTATCCATGACACCACACATTCCCTGAATTTGATTCAGAGATGCTAAATCCTTCTTTTCAAAAGCAGCTTTAGCAGCATCTTCCAGCAATCTGTGGGATAATAAAAACAATGCTGTTATACTAAAACAGAAATTATATCTTCCTATCCCTTCAACATAATTTAAATTAAACTTACCCTGCTTTTATGCAATATTTTACACGATTTTCCTCCTTTACTTTTGGTATATATTTTTTAGCTTCAAATATGTTAGAATGTTTTACACAAACATCAACAAAAGGCTAGAGGATAAAAACAATATGCCTTTAAACAAAAATAAATACAAAATAATTAAAATTACATTCAGCAAATATTTTACAAAATTTCTAGTTAATTTCAAATTTAAATGATCATCTCTATAGTATATTTTACAACAAAGATTTTATATTGAAATCTAATATAAATACTTACAGGGCGTAAAAAAAGGACCACCCTGAATGATCTAGTGATCCGACCTTTATGCTTGAGGAATCAATCTTAATGGTTTGACAAGGTGACCTCAACTATGCTAATTAATTAGTGCAGACAATATTTTAAGTTACGAAATCAAACACGAAAACGTACTTTCTCTGAATAAACATTCTTTTTTTTTTCGACGAATTCAGATTTTTAACTCCCAAAATATAGGGAATAACTGCAATCTGTGAAATATGGTCACAATAGCTTTGTTAGGAGAGCGATTCTAAGTTTGGACCTCTTAATGTAATTTTACTTTTTGTATATTTTGCTATATCTCAAGAACTTTTTAAGCGAATTGAAAATTTTTACACACATCTATAAAATTCGTTTATTCAAAGATAATTCTATGCAAAAAATAACTTTTAGCAAATATTTATTTTTTATAATTACAATTTAATTTGATTTTTTATAATTATGATAAACGATTTGTTCAAAACAAAAAATTACAGAGATATCTGGTATTAACAGTAACTAATTGTAAAAAATATCATATATACTGTCATGCCTCCATGTTGTGATGGCGCTGTCATCAAGGTAGATGTTGTAAAAAGACAGAGGAGGGAACGCTCTGATGGAGAGCGGAAGCGAATTGTTTAGGTGGATTGGTTATATTAATTTTCTTCAAACTTCATTTTTTTTTTTTTTTAATAAATATTTGTGTTGTTAACTGGTTACCATTTATTTGGCCAATTGTGATTTTGGGAAGTATCTGAGTGAAGAAGGGAAAAGGAGGAAAAATTATACATAATATCACAGCACGCTCTCATACGAGAAACAGAGCATAAATCAAGGTATGAGATTTATCATATTCTGTTTATGAAAAACATTTTAAGAATTGAATTATGAGAAGTATTGATTTTAAGTGATATTCTGAAAGAGGAGAATAATTGTATTAGATAGTAGAGAGTTGTAGGAGATTTAGAGAAATTATAATTATTTTGGGAATAGAAATAAATAGAACAATTATGTTTAACATAAGGGGGATGAAAAAAGAAGATTTGGTAGTAGCTGCCGAAGAATTAGGTTTAGAAGTAAAATCGGAGCATAAAGTTGTTGATTTAAAGGATTTGATAGAAAAAAGTGATCAATTTAAAAATGACTTTGATTTTGTTAAAGAATTTTTAATTACTACAGTTTCCGAACGTATTGAACGAGAGAAAAAAGAAGCAGAATTGTTAAATGCAGAAAAGAATCAAAACAAAACAACAACTGAAGCAGCATTAGAACTCGAGAAGACTAGGCTTGAGATTGTTAAAGCACAATTAGAATTAACTAGAATGCAGACAGAGAGTAATAGCTGTAACTCCAATGTAGGGAATGATTTTAGTTCAAATAATAATAACTTAGAAACATTAATCAAAAGCGTTAAAACTTTAACTATTTCCGTTCCTAGTAAACCCGAATCTTGGAATTTATTTTTTACGTCTCTTGAAAAAGCATTTGTAATAAAAAATGTTCCGGAAGAATTAAAAGTCGAAATATTATTTAACTTGTTAGGTGAACGAGCGGCACATTTGGTAGTTTATGCAAACGCGGAAGAAATAAAAGATTATCCTAAAGTTAAAGCTTTAATTTTAAAAGAATTTCAACCTACCCCAGAAGCCTGTCTAGAAAACTTTCTAAACGCCAAAAGATCTAAAAATGAAAACCATATGCAATTTGCTAGTAGACTAAGAGCCAATTGGGACTTTTATTGTGAACTTAAAAATGTAAAAGATTTTGAAACGCTGAATGAATTAATAGTTAGCGATAGATTACTAAGTGCGTTAGACAACGAAACTCGAAGCTATGTTAGAATAAAACAATTAGATACTTGGCTTAAACCTAGGCAGATCGCTGAATTGTGCGATAATTGGTTTACCTCTAAAGGTAGAAATTTTTCAGAATTGTATGATAATTCGGTTAACAATCGCAATCCGAATGGAAACACTAAGTATGTTCCACCACCTTTGAGAAAATCCCCATTTACTAGAGAAAACAAATATTTTCCCCACACACGCGAATGTTATATCTGTTCTAGTAACTCACATATGGCTAAGAGTTGCCCAAATAGAAGAAATAAATACTATGATCAATCAAATAAAGCCGGTAATGATATTCAAAACAAAACGCGAAGTAACACACAAACGTCTATGAATAAATCCAGTGATAATACTGCAGTTGTTACAAATGTAAATTCGAAACATTTGCAGAGTTCTAAAACTTTAAATGAAATTAATTTGTACCCGTTACAAAAAGTCACCATTTCTATTGCAAGTAGACAAATAGACGCGATCATTGATAGCGGGGCTGAGATCTCTATTTTGAATACGACCCTACTTCCGTCTTTAGAAATAGAAGCTAAGGGAAAAATAATTTTACAATCCGCATTTAAAGAACAAGTCGAGGCGAAATTAGCTATATTGCCAGTTTATTATAAGAACCCTGACGATTGTCTATTTTATAGTTCAAATATTTTGTTTGCTTTAACAGATAAACTAAACATCCCTTGTTTAATTACACCGGACGCTTATAATTCTTTGATTTATCAAAATGATGATTCAGCTAAAATCGAAAACACTTTAGTTTTAGAATGCGACACGTCAGTAGACGAGGGGGAAGAAATGAATAAAAGTTCATCAAGGTCAGAGGATTCATTTTCACAATCAGAAGAAAGTGAAACAGGGTGCGGTATTTATTTAATGTCGAATACTAATAAATTATGCAGTTCTAGCGATGAATATTCGGAGGCTAATAAATTTCGAGAAATGCAGAAAGATTGTTTAACTTTAAAGAATTCTTTTAAAGATGCTAGTTTGAAAAAGAATAATTTCTTTTTGCGGGATGATTTATTATTTCATAAAGATAAAATTTGTGGCGATACAATATATCAATTAGTATTACCTAAAATTTATAGGGATAAAGTTCTTCAATTAGCTCATAATGAGAATCATTTAGGAATACGAAAAACTAAGGAACGCATAAAATTATCTTTTTATTGGCCTAATGTTTCAAAAGATGTTGAAAATTATTGCAAAACCTGCAAAAATTGTCAATTAAAAAGTCCGGAGCGAAAATCTGATAAAATTCCTATAACCCCTGTCGTTAGAGCTCCATATCCTTTTCACACGGTAAATATAGATTTAATTGGAGAAATTGTTCCACCCTCGGGTAGAAAACATAAGTATTGTTTATGTTTAATTGATCAAAATTCTAGATGGCCCGAAGTCGTCCCACTAAAAAATTTGTCTGCTAAGACAACATGCGATGCCCTTTTAGAGATATTCATGCGTACCGGAATTCCAGAAGTAATTTGCAGTGACCAGGGTACTAATTTTACTTCGCAATTGACGAAAGAATTTGAAAATAGGTTAGGAGCAAGTCCTCGATTTTCCACTCCATCTTACCCAGCTTCAAATGGTTTAGTAGAGAAATGGAATAGGGTATTTAAACAGATGTTACACCATGTTATCCGTTCAGATCCTACCGATTGGGATAAACATATTCCATATTTACTTTTTGCGTACCGCGAAGTACCAAATTGTACGACGGGAATATCTCCTTTTAAACTTATGTATGGACGCGAAGCTAGAGGCCCTTTGTCAGTTCTAAAATCTTCTTGGTCAGGTGAGATTCCATTACCCTTAAATCTTAGCAATTCGGCTGTAGATTATTTACAGGAATTAAAAATAAATTTGGAAAAGGCGGCAGATCTCGCTTCTTTGACTACAACTAAGAAACAAAATTCTTACGCTCATTATTTTAACCGAAGTACAAGAATGAAAGAGTTTAAGAAAGGTGAATTAGTCTATTTACTCATTCCGGATTCTTCGAATAAACTGTACGCAAGATGGACAGGACCAGGCGAAATAATAGAACGAGTTAATCCTAATTCATATAAGGTTAAATTACCAGATGGCAATGTGCGACATATTCATGCTAACAAAATAAGACATTTTCATGCTAGAACACAAACCGTGGGAGTTATTTTTGAAGATGATGTTGAATTTGGTGAAATTCATCCTACACCAATTATAACACCTTCGTTAGGAAAAGATGACATTGAGGTAGATGTTAGTCATTTAGAAGAAAGTAAACAAACAGAGTTGCTTGAACTTTTGCACAAGCATGCATCATTATTCTCCGGTAAAGTACAAGTCGCTAATGTAGGTGAACATAAAATTCGATTAATACCAGGTGCTGAGAGGAAGAAACCCTACATTTACAAAATCCCCGAATCTTTAAAGACTGAAGTTGACAAACAAATTTCAGAATTAGAAAATCTAGGTCTTATTGAGCCCAGTGAAGCAGACATTGCGTACCCAGTAGTTTGCGTGGCAAAGAAGGATGGTAGTATGCGTTTATGCATCGATTTCAGACATTTAAATGCTGTAACAAAACCCTTTGATTACCCAATGGAAAATTCATCAGATCTCATCAACCAAATTGGACATGCTAAAATTATAACTTGCCTAGATGTATTAAAAGGGTACTGGGAAATTCCTTTAGAAGAGGAAAGCCGTGATCTTACTTCATTTAAAACTCATCGAGCCCAATATAGATGGAAGGTAATGCCATTTGGTCTCCGCAACGCAGCAGCTTCTTTTCAGAAAGTGATGAACAGTGCTTTAAGTGAATATCGTGAATTCTGCAAAGCATATCTCGATGATATAGCTATATTTTCTTGTGACTGGGATACACATCTTAAACAATTAGATATGGTACTGTCTAAATTAACTGATCTAAAATTCACTGTTAATGTCAAGAAATGTGTTTTCGCAAAAACACAAATCAAGTATTTAGGTCATATTATAGGAGATGGTAGACATGAACCAGATCCTGAAAAGCTTCGTGCTATTGAAATCATCGAAACACCTAAAACCAAGTCAGCTTTAAAAAGTGCTTTAGGTCTCTTTAATTATTACAGAAATTATATACAAAATTATGCTGAGATAGCAAAACCACTGACGGATTTAACCAAAAAGAAAGTTCCAGAGCTTATTCCTTGGACTGACGTAGAGGAATTATCCTTCCAAAAACTAAAGAAGAAGTTGATTGAAGCTCCTTCTCTTTATACTCCAGATCCTAAAAAACCGTATGTTATACAGTGTGATGCAAGTTCCTATGGTGTTGGTGCTTGCTTATCCCAAAGAGATGATAACGGTCAACTTTGCCCCATCAGTTTTGCTAGCCAAAAACTGAACAAAGTGCAGCAGAACTGGGCTACGATTGAACGTGAAGCGTATGCTGTAGTATGGTCGATTAAAAAGTTCGAAAATTACGTGTTTGGTGCGAATATTGACATTATAACTGATCATAATCCTTTAATATTTTTACAGAAGTCAGCACCCCAATCTGCTAAGTTGCAACGGTGGGCTTTAGCTCTCCAAAGGTACAATATTCATATCACACACTGCCCAGGTGCTCAATTAAAAAATGCTGATGGTCTATCAAGACTAGTAAGTGATTAAATGTTTTGTGTACTTATTAAAAAACAATCTAACATATATGATAACCTGTTTTATAACAAGGCTTCTTTTCATCTGTAAATATATATATGAGTATTATTGAAATTGAATATCTATTGCAATATCGTATCAATTGTATCAAGGATTCTTTTCATCTGTAATTGTTTATACATACCAGTTTTATAGAAATTTGATTTGTTTATTGTATATATTATGTGTTATAGCCAGGCAACTATACATCTGTCATATTTCTACTATTTTCATTTTGCATATTTTATGTGTAAGTATTTGTAACAAGTATTCTATTCATATGTTTTATTTACAATTAAGTGTTAAATATATTTTTATATATATATTATCCTATTGTGTGGATCAGATTTCGCTATACCAGGTGTAGCGCAATCTTGTCGGAGGGGTGTCATGCCTCCATGTTGTGATGGCGCTGTCATCAAGGTAGATGTTGTAAAAAGACAGAGGAGGGAACGCTCTGATGGAGAGCGGAAGCGAATTGTTTAGGTGGATTGGTTATATTAATTTTCTTCAAACTTCATTTTTTTTCTTTGTTAATAAATATTTGTGTTGTTAACTGGTTACCATTTATTTGGCCAATTGTGATTTTGGGAAGTATCTGAGTGAAGAAGGGAAAAGGAAGAAAGAATATACGTTATATCACATATACTTTGATATTTCATTTTACAAAAACAAAATAGAAGTTACCAAGATGTTTTAATGTTGCTTATAAGGTGAGGGAGTGTTTTGAAATTTTAACAAAACTTGTTAGTAAAAGAAGGATTCCGATTCGCTGAGATTGAATTAACTGCCTTCCTAAATATATATATGACACCTAAAATACAACACAGTTAAAACTGCAGTATGTCCATCTTTTGCAATTATTTGTGCTCTATTCATATTTTTTTTTGTTGCTTTTATCATACATGATGCCCCCACACAAATAAATAGGAAAGTATGAAAACTTGTAATTATACCAGCTCATTAAAAAAATGACTTAGAGAACTTTGCACATTAAAAATAGATTTTTCTTTTGAACTCAAAGACTGAATTCAAACCATTCCAGAATCCTTAGGCCTAAAAAAATTACAGAAAGTTTTAAAAGAATTATTTTTTTTTTGAAATGTCAAAAAAATATAAAAATTTTTATTTATTTAGACAAAAAAAAAGATTTTTTTAAAAATATATCCACAATTTAAATATTTTTGAAACGATACTTTCAAACATTAGGGGTTTAAATAAATTTTTAAATATTTCGATTTTAAGAACCAGTATGCAGATACCAGTTAAATCACGTCACTAATTTTACTACAAAAAATATTTATTCCAAATATAACATTACAATTTTAATCCTTCCTTTCTTATTAATTAAATTATTTATGCCTTTTTTCTCTAACGGCAGGTACCGAACTTTCATTCTTGACCTCGGAAGATGCCGGAAGTGTTGCTCATTTAACGTTACGCAGTGGGCACCTGTGAACCTAAGTCATGGAGGTGAGCAACATTACCCATGCCACAAATACCCGTTCATAGGCTGAGCCACATTCACACATCACACTAAACAGAAGACAACACATAGAGAGAGAAACATTCATGCAAAGAACGGGATTCAAACCCGCAGCCATTGGCTTCACAGTCAGGCACGCTAACCGTTCGGCCACCTGGCCAGCAATTATTTATGCCTAATGCATAGTAACTCTACGTTTTTCATAATTGTTTTTAAAAACTATTTATAAACATGTATAAGTTCAATTAGTGGGAACGAGGCATTTTTATTCTGTCCACTGTATATAAACGGACTCCCACTGTTAAAAGATAGACATTATTACCAAAGTTAGCAAAAAAACAAGATTTTTTTAAAAAAAATAAAATTTTCTTTATTTAAATCAGTTTTTTTAAATTTAATGATAAAAGATTTCATTAAATATTAGAATGCTTTATTATTTAAGAACAATACTAAATATTTCTAACCAAAAATAAAATTATTTTATAATTATTACGAACTAATCAATAAATTTATAGCTATTTTATTCAAGTTTAACATCCACATTTATTTATAAAGTTTTAGATGTAATTTGTCAGCAATCAAATGATGAATAATTTAATTCAGATAAGGATACAAAAAAAATTTTATATTAATTATTGGCAACATAAGTCGTTCTTCATCAATTACAAATACGAACTATATATTTAATAAGTTTCAAAAGCACTTGTATTTAGAATAAATAAATATAAAACTAAATAGATATAATTGAAATAAAACAGCAAAATTCTAATAAAATTATAAATAATTCTAATAATTCTGCATTACAACTAATATAAAATTCTAATTTAAAAGTCTCATGCCACTTTTATTTACACTAAGTTTATGTCTTCATTTATCAGTCTATTTTAAACATCAAATAATAATCTTCATGCATTCCTCTTTCACTATTACCCCAAATAAAACCTTCAATATCAAAGAAATCAGACTTTAAAGAAATATTTTCCACTTAAATCAGTGATTTTTTTTTTAAATCAGGCGACTTAAATCAATGATTTTTTTAAAAATCAGGAGATCAAAATCAATGATTGTTTTAAGAAAAAAAATCTAAAATTTAAATCAAGTAAGAATCCATTGCCATGATTTAACCAGTTGATAAATTGACAGGATTTAAATCAAGTGACTTAAGCCTTTCCAACATATACAAACGTATTACCTCATAGCCTATTGGAGACTTTTTGGAACGGGAAAATTTCTCTAACTCCAACCAATCACCTCCATCAGCTAAAACAGTTATATGTAACCACCAATATCTATAACAAATATTTAAAAAATATTTTAAGAAACTTTAAAATAGAATGCATAGATAAAAAAATCTGGAACTTTCTAGTAAAGTGTCTACAATATTTGATTAGTTTATAATTTTAATGACCTTGTGTCAAGTTAAAGCGTCAATATTTAATTTTTATGTTAAATTTCAAATTCAACTAAGTACTGTTATAAGCATTTTTTAAAAAATTATACAAAAAGATGTATAACAAAAATAAACACGAAAGAAAAGTATTACAAAAATATACAAGAAGGTTAAGAGGACTCAAAGTCAAATGCTTATGTTTTTAATTCCAGCTGGAAAAACTTATACACTTACATACATATTAACAACTTATTATGAGAAGATTGCAATAATTTAAATGCTATACTTTTCAATTGTTTTAATAGTTTTTTGCAAATTTTGTTGTATAAATTTTAATTAAATACATGCTCAAAAACAACTAATACTGACATCATTTTGTGTTAAGCTACTTAAACTACAATATAATAGATTGTCACAATATTCATTTAATTAATAGTTCACACACAATGTTCATATAATTATAGACATCTCTCTAAATAAATTTTCATAAAATGAAACACTTTTTTTTTCTTTCAACCTATAAAACCTGATTTTTTAACATATCATAGAGTAGAATCAGGTTAAATCATTTTTACTGTAACTGGTAAAAAAAAAATTTTGTTTCTAGCCTCACGGCTCTGGTTAAAGCGCTATTTTACTGCATATAGTAATTAATTACAAATTATATATCTTTTTAAGTTTAAATGAAATTTCAAATCATAAATTATTGCATTATTTAAAAAAATTGAGCTAACATTTATATGAAGCTTAACCTAAACATCTGCAAAAAGCTTACAAACCTACGATCAGGAACTTTGAAATCTTTTCGCAATTCTTCAGCATGTTTGAACTCTCTACGGATCAGTAATTGCTTCATTGTTTGGTGCAATGACAAATTTTTAAAATCTTCATGGAATTTTTCTTCATATCCTATTTGATATTTCAGTAACTTTAACTGTTCTTCAGTAATCTAAAACAAATAATTTTCATAATACAACGTTACACATAAATGCATATTACATCATACATTTTCTGGTGCAGTATTAGATTTCTAACTCTTAACTTAAAATTCATAATAATACAACATTACACATAATTGCATATTACATTGCACATTTTCTGGAGCAAAATTAGATTTTTATCTCTTAACTTAAAATTCATACCAATACAACATTACACATAAATGCATATTACATAGTATATTTTTTGGTGCAGAATTAGATTTCTATCTCTTAAAGTATTGTAAAAAAAGGATTAGAAAAATAAAATATGACATACTAGGAATAGTGCAAAATTAATTCATGTCACCAGTCACGAGCAAATAAATGTAGCTAATGGTGATTAAAATTTTTTCTACCAGTTGCTATCCAATTCGTCAAAAATGGAGCTCATATGGGATTTATTATTATTTTTTTAATGAATAAGCAATCATTATGGATATTTAATAACATTCTGAAAATAATTTTACTTAATTTCTAAACATTGTTCTTCCTTTTGGAAATAAACCTTGTAATGTTGACCTTATTTTGAGAAATGCTTTGAAAGAAATGCCCCAAATTATGATTACCAACAGTTTTTTTTTTTTTTAATCATTTACGAAAAGCATGGCCACTGTTTAAAATGCTACAAATGACCACAGGTAGTAGCAAAATGTCCTAATTTTGCCTCGAAATATTAGGTTGTCCAAAAGGTATATACGTATTTTAAAGAAAGATTTAAATAATTTGAATACACTTATTAAATCATATAAATGCCATTCAGCTCCATAATATTTCAGTTGGTTTAAAAATTTCCTGCTTTTAAAACCTTTCAGGTTTTTTTAGTGAAAAAATTTCTACATGAGTTTTTCTCAATCTCGAATTTACTTTTTTCCATAACAAAATAAATAGGAATTTCAGGACACGAGAACTGGTGAATATAGTGGATAGGGTAAAACGTTCCAATCGAGTTTTAACAACGTTTAAAGTTATTAAAAACAAACGAGGCTGTGCTTTGTCATGGTGAAACATGAAATTCTTTTGATTTCTATTTATGAAGTTTTTTGTGAAATTGTGGTTGCCAAATTGAGATTAATATTCTTAAGAATTTTATCTCTTTTAGAATGCATGTTATTTGTTCGTGAATATATGCCATTTTCTTTATCATTCTGACTTATAAAATACTGACCATACACCATCAAGCCACAATGGCCAAATATTGTTCCAAAAACCCAAAATTAAAATGTAACTAAATAAAAATAATTGAGAGCATTGAGAAATTACTCAGTAAAAATTGAGAGCAATTTAAAAATAATTGAGAGCATTGAGAAATCACTCAGTAAAAATTATTCAGGTCTCCAATTTTATTTCACCAGTTTTAACTAATAAATTTTCACCCTGAGACGCTCCAAAACTGTATTCTTTATTACTGTTCTATAACTAGTATAAAAAGCATACAAAGATTAACACAAAAAAGAAGCTAAATCTGAGATGTTTTTTTTTAGCTTAGTTTTTACACAAAAATAATACACAACCACAAAAATTCTTAAATTTACTTTATCAATAAATACCTGGGTTGCGAAATCATTTTTAGCTTTCTTGTATGAGTTTACAGCTTCCAACAAACAACTTGTCTGCCTTTCAATTCTCTACAAAATAAAATTGTATTAAATTTAAAAAAAAATTTTTTTGCAATGTATAATTAGAAATTAGACTCCCCACTACCTTACATTTATTTTCCTCCAGTTCTTTTCTTTTTTTGATAAAAACACTTAAATAACTATTTTAAATTATGGCCATTGTTGCTCATTATGACAGCTTAATTCACACATCTAAAATATATGTTAGTCATGAGAATATTTGCTAAATTTTAATACAAAAAAATAGATTTTGTTGTTTAAATCAATACAGAAAAAATGATGATGGGCAATATTGGCAAAAATATGTTAAGTAATATTAAAAAAAATAAAAATATTGATCTTCATATGCCAGCTGTAATGAATATTTTAACATTCAGTTTCTCATGGAAATGAAGATTGCTCAATCTTAATATATCAAGTTTTTTATCTATCAGGATTTATATTCGGAACAGTTATTTATTTTATAAAAAAACTGTTTAACATTTACTCTCTTAAAAGTCAAATCAACATTTATTTTAAATATTGGGGTGGGAAAACATTTATGGTTCTACCAAATATATAGGATTAGTTAAAGTTTTTTTGATTGCCGAATTCATTTTTATTTTAATTTTTTTTATTAGAAGTAGTATAAAAATTATCTAACACAAAAATAATTTTTACATCTAAAAAGCTTAACTTACCATTGGTAGAACTTCGAGTTCAATAAAGAAAAATGCATTAGAAAAATACCCTTTTATGAACAAAAGCAACTAAGAATCTTAACTACTTCTTATTAACCTTAAAAATAATAACTTTAATTACAAAAAATAAACCTCATACTTAATATTGTAATTTTTTCATTCACATTCACATTTCATTAATTCACATTCACAAGCTTTTTTACACAGACGGATATAGGATTATGTTCATTATGGACTATTACCCTATTACCATATACAACATATTACCACAATGAATGTTAAAAAAATGAGAAAATATATTATAATAATTATAACTAAACAAACAGCCTAATAATTTAAATAAAAAAATTACTTATATTTACACTCACTGTTCAAACAGTAGTCTTCGGTTGAAAACTGTTGTATAAAAATTTAAGATGAAAAATGAGTGTATACCTGAGTTTGAAAACTCTCCATCACATAGCAGTGGCCTTCTGAATTAAAATCACTTTCTTGTGAGTAATTTTCTCGAAGTAATGTAATATCTTGCTCCTTGCACAACTAAAATTAATTTATTGAAGTTTTAAAACATTTGTTCATTTAATCAAAATTCAAGTGGAAAAAATTTAATTTTTTTTTATCTGATCACTTAAAAAAAACTTCTACTTAGGTTTTAGAGATGAACAAGGGCCTGAACCCGAGATTACATACAAAAACCAAAAACTCATAGTTATCATTCAATTATTTAGTGACAAAAAAATATATATTAAAAATTTTATCACCATCCAGAAAAAAAAAAACTAAAACAAACAAAAATAAGGGCATACATTTTTTTTAAAGCAAAATGGAGAGAACAGTCCAAAACTATTTTAAACAACTCAGCTCAACTCATCAGTGGTTACACCACTTAGATTGGATAAATAAGATTAATTAAAACTTAATAGGAACAGCATATTTTTCAATTGCATTATTTCGTTTTCACAAAAATATCTTCCAAAATAAATTGTGGTAGTGTAATGTACTGATGCGCAAATATTGCCCTTGGCTCATCATTAAGGATGAATAATCATAGCACAAGGGAGATGTTAATAATTAAAAAAAAATGGCTCTCAATCTACAAAAAATTAGGATTAGTAATTTTTCTTTCTTAGTAATATTTCTAAAGCTGCAAAGAAATATGAACCCTTTACCCTAAATAACGCTTTTATGGCTAGACCATTGTGACTTAGAGGAAGAATTAGTCAGGCTCTTAGGATTAAAAAATTAAAAGACCCCTAGATTAATAAAAAAAATTAAGAAGTCTTTCCAAAATTTTCATAAATTAATCATAGATTAGTGAAAAGACTTATTATAATAGATGTGTAGATTTATAACAAGTTATAAATTTATTTATGGAAAATGATTTATCATGCAATTACAATAATAAGGTTCATGATACAACAAAATTTTGGAAATAACATTTAAAGAAGTCTATTTCTAAAACATTTCAAAATTTAATGAGACAAGAGTTTTGTTATGAAGTATGCAAATGAAAACATAAAATTCTACTTATAAAAGAGGACTAAATATATTCAAATTAAATAATCTTCTATATCTAAAAATATAACACAAGTCGCCAATTAGAATCAGAAAAATAAGCATAGTATACAATGTTTCTGATAAAATTTCGAACAAGTAATTCATTTAATCTAAAATATTCCTACTGTGTATCAAAATTGAGTGATTTAACCTATAACATTGTAACACGTTTTTAAACCATTTATAACATAAAATAAAAGGTGCATAGGAATTTTTCTATGAATGAGAAAAAAGGGTAAATTTTTACAAAAATAAGAATAAATAACAAAACAAGTATTCATTTCATTATTGTATTTCAGTTTATTTCATAAATAATGGAAGATCCTTAAACTTTACTACAGCAAATTTCAGCTGGTAAACCAGATTAATCTTTATTAATTACTAAATATTATATATCATTATTATATATTATTATTATATACCATCATCAAACACCATTTATCACTTTTATCACAAATATACTTTTGTTTAAAATTTTAGCCTGTTTATTAAATACAGAGACAAGAAGAAAAATAATGAAATCACTAGATTTAAAAAAAAAATATTTATATTATATTTAAACACTTATTTTATTTCGAATCACTAAACATATAATATGCTATTTATAATATAAACTATTTATATCATTTTAAAAAGATCCTTTAAGTTTACATAAAGTTTACTAAAGGTAAAAAATAGTGAATGAAAACGACTTACTTTTGTATATAAACTGTGAGCTACAGGAAATTGTCGAATTTTCATATGAAAATCACCTTTGGACAATGTTGTTTTCAAGTAGCGGATAACAGTATATACTAAAATCAATAAAAAATTCAATACAGTTACATAATATAACAAATGCTAGTTAGCTTTACAATTGTTTGACACAGACTATATAGACATACTCAAATCAGTGTCACCACTATCAATAGCTTTCACCATGGCTTGTGTCTCTTGTTTAAGTTTAATGAGAAGAGGAACTTGTTCAGATGCTCTTGTTTCATAATCTAATAGCTGTTGAAATATAATTAATATATATTCTCAAAATTAAACATGAAAATAATATATATCAATCCTGTCAGTGTCTATTTTAACCCTAAAGAACATTTTTTTAAATCATTTTTAGCCTCTTGAATTAAGAACCCACAAATATAATAAGAGCAAAATTTAGTATATCTGTATAACTGCAACTTCACAGCAAACAATGCATTTTATTATTATTAAACAATTTTATTTATATTAAGACAACACATGTGTTTATGTTAGTTCTGCCTCCAAAATAAAAATAATGAATTCAAAAGGTAATAATACCACAGCTTATACTGGCTCACAGACAACTAAAAAATTATTATTTTCCAATAGCATAATTGCATTAAAAAATAATTTGCTTATTTAGTACCGTCATGTGGGGCTACTTTGTGCAAATTCGAATTTGGCACTTTTCCAGTCCTGCTATTCAGTATTATGTTTTTTTCACGTAAAAAATTTGTGAAATTTGAAGATAGAAGTCTCCTCTATTACTACAAACATTTTTTCGAATTTCAAAACAATCTCAGAGCGTGTTTTGTTTATCCAATGTCAAAAACTTTCCGAGAACGTCGGACGTCGAAAAGTGTGCATGGAAACTTTAGCTGTGAAATGCAAAGACGTTGATAAAACAATTGTCGTAAGTGCAAAATTTTTTATTTATATATTAATAAACAATTATATCATGTTAGCGTTAAAAAAATTTATAATAAAATTAATAGCAAATAAACGTAAAATGAAAAAAAATGCACCGTGGGGCTACTTTCTGCAAAGTTTTATTAGTTTTTTTTTTTTCGACGGAAAAATTGTCAGACGTTATAAAAAAAATACCTGGAAAGAGAAACTACTGTGATTACACTTCAGAAAATCTGTAACAATGTTTGCAAGCAGTTTCTGGTGGTATGTCGATTGCAGAAACTTCTCGGAAGTGCAAAATCCACAGAAATACTACCTCTAATAAAATTCACAAGAAACATGTGAAACGTGCTGGTAAACTATTATTTTTCTTCTACAAAGATTTTTCTAATGAATTAATCACACGATTTAACACACAAAAATATATTTTATAGGACATCAGGTGATTTTGACAGAAACTGAAGAGCAAGTTCTGTCATGTTCATTCAAACATGTTATGTTCAAATTTATCAATATTATAAATGTTAATGAATATGTAATAATTTTTATTTTTGAAATTTCATCCATTTCAATGTTCAAAAATGTATATGGTTTCCTTTTGTTTAAACTCAAATGTTTTGAAATAATCATTCTTTTTAAGAAAAATTTCTTCATAAAAAATGATTTATTAACGCTGAAAATTATTTTCAAACTAATATCTTTACATATCTTGATGTTTTTGCTATTAAAAATGTCAAGAATTAACTTTTTTTAACAATTTTATATCAATATTTTACTAAAAACATGATTATTAAACTGAATTCCTATCACTGCACAAAGTAGCCCCACTTGGGGGCTACTTTGTGCAAGGTATGTTTTGACTTATTATTTGTAAATAGTACATACATGCAAACATTGATCAAATTCACTCGTCTGATTCCAGTTATGAATATAATATCGATAGATTTTACTAAAGTTTGAATTAACATAGTTTTTTTACATGTCAAAGTTCAAAAACTGCGAAATCCTGCACAAAGTAACTCCACATGACGGTAGTTTAAACATGATAATTTCCTTTATTGTGCAAATTCTGTCATTCCATTATTATCACACAATTATTTTTGCTGAACATTATGATATTTCTTATGTTCTCCAATAGCTCTTCCCTTGTTCCCATGCAAACTCTTATATTGCAGTTATGTGCAAATATTAATGGTGCGTAATTGTTACTACATTGTTTTACCTTTGCATGTGTGCCCCTTTTCTTTATCTCTGATACATTGTGAATGCTTTCATTTAATAAGCATTTTAAGTTGCGCACTTTCAAGACTAAGTTACTATTTTATATGATGATATTTATCATTTTTTATACGGTGATATTTATTCTTTACTAAATTTAGTAGCAGTAAAACTAAGATAAAAAAATAAACATTGCCTTTAATTAGTTCAATATAAGGTTAATATTACATAAGTGTTACAGAGAAAAATATTTCAGGTGTCCATCTCTTCTTATTGCACCACTTTAACATTTAATGCATGCAATGTTTCAAACATATTTGATACAGATATGAAACATAGTTGCTGCAGATATGAAACATAGTTGCTGCAGATATGAAAAATAGCAACCAAAATAGTTTCCAGAGGCATAAAATAGTTAGAAACTTTTTCTTCCCTCTTCTATCATATTTCTACAATGTTTAAACTTAAACAATGTAAAATAAGCCAATGTTTTTAGACCCTTAAAGTTGATAAAATACCAGGCGTCTTAAAAATGACTGAAGGGTTTTAAAAATTAACTAGCTACTTCATAAAAACAATAGGCTTAGAACACTTGTACGAACTAAACATTCTACTTACACAAACCGAAAATTAATCTTAAGCAAATTGAGTTAAACTTTCTTATCATGTCAAACTAAATTATAGAAATTTTACATTAACACGTTACTGCCTAAAAAAAGAGAACTGCAAAAACCCTTAAGATTTTTTGCGATAGCTCATGCCTGCAGCTCACTTCATGGCATAAAATATTTCTGGTCAAATGTAGAGAAAAAAACTCCCTCTTACTTGCTCATGACGTCACACATGAAAACAACAGAAAAAAACTGATATTTTTCTGTACTGAAGTGATAAAAAATCGCCAATTTATTCTTTGTTAATAGCTAATGGTTAAAAATTTCGCAAATTTCTTGTAACTTATTGCAAAATAGTTATTTGTGCCTACATTTTGGTAAAAATAGTAATCATAGTAGCCTTTTCTCTAAAATAGTCATTTCAGTTCCCTTTTTAGTTGCCAATGGAAGCCATGCAATATGTTTCTTGGTTTGAAAAGATACTTACAATTTTGTAAAAATAAAAACAAAATTTAAAAGTTTATCTAAGGTCTTAATTTTGTAAGTAATTATTATGTGCTCAGATTTTCAGAAATTATCACAAAACATGATTAATTTTATCAACACACTTCACATTTTCTTTTATCAAGAGTTATGAAAGGTAGTTGTAAAAAGGCACTAGATTAATAAATAATTGTATTCATTTCCAATTAGAAAATTAAAGCAGAAACCAATATTTACTTTCACTGCTAGAGATGGATGCCCATAATCCATAGCTTTATTTGATATCTCAGCATATGAAATCCCAGGAGTTGATCCTAATTTATCGGCAATAGCCATAGCTGTTAATTCCGGATCTAAATTAGTTCGTTTCACCTATAATAAAAGAAAACAGTTTTTCTCAATTAAATAAATAACTCACCCATACAAAAGAAGAAACTTTTTTTTCTTCATAAATTAGATATTTTTCTTTTAAAAACATAAAATTAAAAAAAAGACATTTGAAACTCAATTAAATGCATCAAAACATTAAAATAAGTTTAATTATATTTTTTTGATGGTATAAAGATTAACAGTTTCAGATTTTATACAATCATTACAAAAATTGCATCAAACTATTAAACAAACAATAAGGTTATCTATGCAAAAAAAATAAGAGTTTCTCGCACATTGCAAAATAGTTATTAAAAATAGGATGTCATACCAATCATTTAAAAAAATTTATATAAAAAAAAGAATTAAAAAATGAAAAAAAAATCGGATATTCATGTAGTTATTAAAAGTACTTCTGCAGTCAAAACTAAAACTCATAAAAATTATGGAATAACCACAGTGAGTATAATAGTCGTTAATGACAAATTAAAATTATGTTTAAAAAAATATTAAAGTTTTTGCTATTAGAAAAAATATAAGTATCTCGTAAAAAAAAAGTTCAGTAAAAATATTTCAGAAATGTTTTTAAATTAAAATTATTTTATGTGCTTAAAGCAGTTATATAATAAATGATAGTGACATAACAAATAGTTCTGTTTAAGTTTTTCATAAAAAGAAAGAAAAAAAACTAGGATATTACTTACTTTATAACAAGCCCAATGGTCAAGTATACGACTAGCTCCATCAGTGTCTGGTATTTTCAGATATTGGCAAACACAAATAGCATAACAATAATGCCGTCTCAGGACCAGGCGATCAAGAAGAACTGGGATTGTTAAAAACTGCAATCTATTTCAAATTAAGGCAAGAAATAATTCTTTCCCACATCATAAAAATATCTTTTCAGAAAAATCATGTTTAACTTATTTCATTAACATTAATTTAAGAATTCTTTTAAAAAATCCATCCCTGTCTATACGTTAAAGAAGTATTTAAAACTAGTTGATAAATGTGAAATGATTAGAATAAAATTTCAAACTAATATATTTCATTTTCAAATAAGCTTTGAAAAATATAATCATTTATTTGTATAGTATTTATGTTTTTTTTTCCTTTGCTATAATTAAGGACCTTTTAAGAATCACATAACTGCAATTTAAAAAGAAAACTTAAACATTTTAAGACAAAATTTCTAATGAATTTGTCTTGACTATATTACTTTTTTAAAATTAAAGATCTTGCATAACTCGAGAATACAGCATATTATGCACTACAAAACATTATTTCATGTGATGACAATCGCTTCAAGGAACAGCCTTAATAAAAATAAATTAACAAGCCTTAAACAATTTTTAGCTATATAACAACAAACATTTATTAGTTTAGAAACATCTAAAAATATACTAAATGGGGAAAAAGTTTAGGGAAAAGATCATAATCAAAAAGGGAAAAAAAATCAACGAAATTTGCAAAATAAACAAGGATACTGAGTGTAAGTAATTGGTAACCCGATAACACTAACTCGAACAGCATTAAGAACTCGTAATGTTTGACACATTTTAACAAATGGTTCTGGATTGATATCAGGTATGAAGTTTTTACCGAAGGATGCAGCCTGAAAAAAAGATGCATAGTTTAAAATTGCATAGTATTTTAAAATTATTCTAAACCTCACAATATTTAATAAATTATTTCATTTTTATAACTTTTTTAAATTTAATAAGAGAGACTAAACAACAAAATGAAAACTTTATCGAAACGTATTATCATGATGGAGAAAAAATTTAATAGTAATAAAGCAACATAAAAAGATATTAGTTTGAAATGTTTTTTTAATTTTATTTATGATTTTTTTAATAAAGCTATATTATTAACAAGATAAGAATCAATATCAAGGAAACAAAATCCCACTGAAAAGATCTTAGAAATTATTCAAAATAAACAAACATCCACAAAAAAAAAACGTATTGTAAATTAAATTATGAATTGATTCAGACAAGTTAAACTATAACTTTGCTTCAGATAAGTTAAAACATTTGCCAAAACGATGACAATTAAAAAAAACAAATGAACTACATAAAAAATAAATGATTTATTAATTTAATATGAGCACAATGCATACTTTAACAGGCATTCATAAACTAATTAGCGAAAACAATATTTTAAGGTACAAAACCATATTTAAAAACTTATATCTTCTGAATGAACACGTATTTTTCTTAGACAGACTTGGATCTTCAAAAAATGGGAGGTAGCTGAAATCTGGAAAATATGGTTCCCTTAATATTAATTTCACTTTTTATGTAATTCACTATATCCCAAAAACTGTCTTTAGCGAATTAAAACATTCTTCCCCACAATTAGAAAATTTTCCTATCCAAAGACAATACAATGCAAAAAAAAATTTTTTATAATTATTTATTATTTTTTATCGATTTATTTAATAAAAGTCGAAAAAATTTCGAAATGTAATTTTAAAAAAAAACATACAAAATTTGAGTGAAATCTGTTTAATAGAGCCCAGAAATCAAATTTCAAACAGATAACTCTTTACAATTTAATTACTCAGAAACTACTCACCCGACTTTGTTAAAATTTCGTATTTTGTCATATTCTTTCAAATAATGCAAACATACCTTACAATTCAAAAATTTTCAATTGTTAATAAATAAATATTAAAAATTGATTTGTACATGGAATTAGATTTGAATAAGAAAATTTTATAATTGTGTGCAAAAATGTTTTGATTCGTTCAAGGTATAGCAAAATTTGCAAAAAGTCAAATTAACTTTAAGGGGCCCAAACTTTCAAAACTCTCCTGCTTAAACTATTGGGACCCTGGATAGTCGGTGATAGCATCATCCGACTATTATACATCATGGCATCATTGAATTTAATTGCATCATTGAATTTTATTGCAGCATCGACTTACAAATAGATGGACAGAAAAACTTTTTTTATTAAAGAAAAGTAGTGTATTTTGATAGAAAATCGATAAACAAATGTAATTTCTATGCCCAAATTTGAACTTTATCTTTAGAGCTTATACAAAACTGGAAAATGCAACATTGAGGTAGCATTGTATAGCTGCACATACAATTGATTGGAAAAAAGGAAGAATAAAAGAAAGATAATGAGAAAATAATGAGTAAAAAAGAATTAAAAACTCACACGCAGAAGCATCTTTTGAGTGGATGGCAGAAATTCATGTCCAGCTGCCTTTAAGCAGCATTCAACTGCTTCTTCCAATTCATTCTTTTCTCTTATCATTCTAATATATTCATCAGCTTTATGACTACGTCTCTATAATTCACAGGAAATAAAATTTTACTGCAATGATTTTCTAATGTAGAACTAATAGTTTAATTCCATGTATATAAATTAAAAAAATAGGAAATATTTCGTACTATTTGCTGTAATAAGTAACCTTACGTGCAAACAGCAGTTATTTGCAATTATATATATTTTTTAAAAAAAGGATTAAAAATGTAATGTAATAAAAGTTTAAACAAAAATTCTTCAAAAAAATTAAGAAATGTGTTAAAAATATTACAATGAAAGCTGGTTTAAATTTTGGCATGAAATTCTATATGTTTTTGAAGTAGACCTAGTAACTAAGAAGTGTACATAAAAATTTTCATACATACAAATAAACTTTCAAAATAGTCAACATTTTAAAGCTCCACTTAACCCCAGAATTTGAAAAAATATTATAAAAATACATTAAATGATGATAGTTAAGTTAATATTTTTTCTCCCAGAATAACAAAGTTTTGTATATCTTTAAAAATACTAACATTCACTATCAAAATTCTTAAATTTAAAAGAATTATACATAAGATTGAAAAAAAAACAACATAGATAAAATCATACTCGAAATTCATTAGATGCTTCTAACAACAAAGCACTAGGTGAAAGAGAACCTATTCTGAATACATCAGTAACAGCATCTGAAAAAGAAAAGTCAATATTAATCAAATGCAGCTTATATGAATCTAGGGATGACAGCAACAATTTCAATGCTTTAGAAATGACAAACATGATTTTATAAACAAGTTAAATATTAAAACTAAAAAAATAAATAAATAAACATTAAAAGATAATCATACAAGATTAAAAATTATTTCTAAAATCTTATAGCATTTTTTAAAAATATCTCTCTTTGTTTTTGTTATTAATTTGAATTTTCAGCCAAGAAATTTAAAAAAAAAAAAATAAGAATCTTAATTATTTAGGATTCTTAAAAGCAAAAAGAAATTACTGTAGAAATTTTGAACTAGTCTTTTTCTGTGTTTATTTAGTTTAAATGTTTTTCTATATGAAATAATAGAGATTATGAATGCTAAAATGTATTTTCAATATTCAAACACAACTGATATTAAAATAAGAGATTTAAAATTCATAATTTACAAAAATTACAAATGATAAACACTTTAAATTTCTGCAAGATTATATTAAGTTCAAACGAATTTAAAAGAAGAAAAAAAGAAAAAGGAACAAGATAAATATGCCATATATATTTTTATTTATTCATTTTTTACACTGAAATACGTCGAAAATGTTTTCTCACTTATGTACTTATGTATAGAAATAAAATCTCAATACAACCTATACAGTCTGTTATGCAACCATTGCCCTATATTTTAAAATTTTCCTAACAGCAGACATATAAAAATTTTTAAATATAAATCTAAATGAAGATAGGACAAAAACATTATCAAAATGTGATGAATCTTTTTAGGATCAATTTTAGAAATGATAGGTTTAAATTTATCAAGAATCAGTTTACATTTTGAGGGGCATTGCTATGTGCCCAATCAGGGGCGGATTACCCATTAGGCCAGACTAGGCCATGGCCTGGTGCCCCCAATGATTAGGGGCCCCCATAAAAGAATTTTTTTGAAAATAAATTTTAAAAAATTGAGAAAAACAATGATTTTTTAAAAAAAAAATCTATTTCAAATATATATTAATAAAATACGATAATTTTTTTAGTTCTAATTTAACAAAATGAAGTAAAATTTAATTTTTTATTATTTATTTTTATTTTAAATATGCTTTCTCAAATGAAAAGATATATAAATACTTTTATATTTGAATAAATAAAAAACATACAAGAAAAAAAATTTAATCTAAGGGCCCCAAAAATTTGAATGGCCTAGGGCCCCGCATATGCTTAATCCACCCCTGTGCCCAATATGTGTTGGGAACAATCTGTCCTCAACAAATAAGCTGCTTTTTATTATAAAAATATACCCATTAAAACAGACTAAACTAATTGATAGTCAAGATTATTTTAAATATTTACCTTTTAAAAAAAGCAATTTCTTTTAAATCATATGTTTGATTTCCAACTAAATAAATTTACCTGGTACTTTTTGTAGAAGATCATGAGTATTGTTGCTAATTATTCGAACGCCATCAATTTCAGGAACTAAGTGAATAGGTGTATAAAATAGGTCACTACCATAATTAAGGAACTTTCTTTACAAAATTCACTAAACTGAATAAAAAAATAATTGCATGTATGTAAAAATTTTGCATACAATTAAAAACTTGCTTAAAAAAATAGCTTTAAAAAAATAACAAGTCATATGTATTTCTGAAATCCTCGATAATGATCTTCCAAAATATTAATAGTTTTCTATTATCATAATATTTTGGAACACTTCTGTTAATGATACCTAGTTTCTAGAAAATAAAGTAAAATTTAAAAGAAAAAATACTGCTTCTGAATTGAGATTAAAGACTCATCTTTTAGTTTCAACTTCAAAACTTAAGTTAAAATTAAAATATATGACTAAAAGATCTCTCATCTATACCAGGCACAATCAGAATGGGACTCTTGAGTTTTCAATTAAAATAAAACTAAAATTTACCCTTAACATTATTTTTGAGTTGTGCTAAAAGCTATAACTTGAATGTAAACAAATATTACCAAATTACATAACTAAATTTGAAAAATTAAATAATTTTACTGTGTAAAATCACCAATTCTTTGAAAATTGTTTTGTAAATAATTTTTAACATTTTCATTTGTAGTAACAGTTTCTTTAGTTACAATAGTTATAGACATCAAAGCAGGGTACAAAAAATCTAAATTTTTATGTACCCTGCACGAAATTTTTAAAAAATAGAACTCATTCCCAAATTATTTTTACAAAACCAACACTTTTTTGATTGTGTATTAATTAAAATATACAAAATTACCAATTATGTAAATATTTCAATTAAAAATTGCATGAAAAAAATATATTTACATTAACACATTAGTTTTAAGTATAAATCATAAGTATTATATATTATTATCAAAAAGTGTTAGGCATTATTAACAAGAAAGTATTGTGTGCTAATAAACACTTATGGAGCAAACGCAGAGCATTATTATTAATAAAGAAATAATGTAATCAAAGTTATAAAAGTTAAGTACTATCAGCAAGTGCATGTCTTTCAACATGTTACTTTAAAACAAACTAATTAACTTTTATACTAATTATTTTCTTACGCACAGTGATTGAGATAAACTTTTTCTTTTATTTAACAAAAATATGAGTGAATAAGGGTGAAAAAGGATAAGCTACCTATATTCGTATAATTCTTATTTATGTAATCAAATCAGCAACATTTAGGTCTGTCAAAATATAATCTTTTTCTCCTCCCCTTTGGTGTCGTTAACTCTCTTAATCTATATCTTGGTGATTTTTATCAAAATTTAAGGCAGTTAAGTTGGCAATTCTTATTAAATAGTTACATACTCATCCAGGCATTTAAGAGTAAAAAATATGTGGCCAATTAGAACATTTGCGTGCTATATAATATATAGGGCAAAATAATTCCATAGTGTGGATCACAGATATATTCGAATGTCAAAACTGCTTAAGATAATCTAAAAACTGTTATAAAGGTTTTTACGAAGTCCATGATCCAGTATTTATTATTTCTGAAATTTGTGAGGATATTAAAGGCATTGCCTAATGATAATATGCATGGCTTCAAGCAAAGAAGGTGAGGACAAAGGTAGAAATTTTAATACTACCAATACTTTAAAAACAGAAATATGGAGCTAACACAATACCTTTAAACAAGTTAATGCTTACTATATTTTATATTTATGATATTTTTGAATTTCTGTATCTACCAAAACTTAGGTAAACAAACATTTTACAACCATGTATTTTCTAAAGCATGCAGAATTGCTTTACTTAATATTAAGCAAAAACATGAATTAAATTTATCATAAATTAAGCTAAACTCTGTATTTACATGAACTAACATGGATTATTACATGAAAATTACATAATTATGATAATAATTTATGTTAAGGATACTTCATATAATCTTTATCTGGGCCAATGACTAACATAATATTTTCAAGTTCAATTTGCCAAATTCCAACAACTGCACCTGTACCACACCTAAATAAAAATTAAAAAGACAAGAAAACACGGACCATGGTTCAAATAACTAAAAATACTTAAAAGATAATCAGTAAAAACAATTTTTTAAACTATAATAAGATTTTTAGAGGTATAAAACTAGACATTTCTAGCTAAATAAAAATTGACAATAAATAACAATTAAAAATGTCGAAAACAATTAAAAAATTTAAATATAAAAATAGTGAGACTTTGTTAAAATTTTAAGATAGACTTTTTAGGAACCTTTTTATTTACAAGTGTGCATCAAAATAATAAGTGCAGAAGAAAAGATTTGCTTTATAACTCTTCAAAAAAAAAAAACTTTTGAAATTTTAAAATTCTGAAAGATAAACATGTTTATAAATTTAGGCAAAAAAAATATTTTAAGGTAAACAGTAGAAAAAGTTTAGAGGTAGGAAATTTTTTCTAAGTATAGTAAGCCTTTTTTCTACTTCTGGATTTTCCAGCAAATCAAAAATTTATAATAAAAACTAAAAAATTGGAATAAACAATTGTATGTACAGAAAGTGTTATAATTACCAAACAAGCTGTTGAGGTCGAGCTTTTGTTTGAGTGTCAAACTCACAATATTTTTTCTGAAATTTGCAGAAAAAAAGTTATTAAACAGTTATAGCTTTAAGGTCAACAATTCTAAGAAATTTTATTTTTAATCATATTAAATACAAAATTAGAATATCTTCCTTTTCTTGCAACATAAAAATATAATAATGTTTAACTTCAATTCTAAAAATCAGTAAATGAATTCAATGAAAAATTTTATAAAATTATGTTTAATACAAACAATTTTTAATTTTCACTCAAAAAAATATTTTTAATATGTAATAGCTTTCTTTGCAAGATATAGATAATTAAAGTAAATAGCATTAGATAAAAATATAATTTTGTTAATCCACCTGAGCAAGAAATTACATTAAAGTTCAAACGAGAGTTATGTTACCTAATATTAATTTTTTCTTCAGCAAAACACATTTCATAGTATTATATTTTCTTTCTACATCTTTTATGTTAATTAATTGTATTTTCCATCACCGTGCTTACATATTTATCCACTTAAAAAAATTAAGCCATCTTTCAGCTACTATATTATTTTAACTGCTAATTAACTACAAAAATTGAAGTAAATTGATATAATTGGTAAAAAATGGCTAATAGAAACAAAGCAAATTATTATTTTTTTTAAATAATTCATTTTTTAAAAACATATTTTCATAAAAAAAATAAAAATATATAAAAGGGAAGTAAAATGTAAAATGTTACCATTCTCCTTTTTCCTTGCTCTACATCATTCATTTTAGAAATAAAACGTTTTAAAGTTTAACTTAATTAAATTAGAAACTAAAAGCTCTTTAAGAGATGTTTACAGAGTTCCTTAGTTTGCAAATGTTTTTTAGTCTGTGAATGTTATAATGAATTCTGTATTAGTTATTGTATATTCTAGTAAATTTCATTTACCCTATGATGGGATACATATAATTTACTATAATAAAAAAAAAGTGTTAAATAATTTTACAAGTAGTGGACATAGTATTTTTACTTTTCTCTTAGATCATTGAGGAGAGGAAACAACTGGTTACTCTTTCAATAAATGCAGCAATTTTTTTCCCTAAGAAATAAAATATTCCTAATGAGATTAAAATAATAATTTAATCAAGGAATGTTCAAACTTTGGTGCTTACACCAAATCTCACACAATTACAAGTGGTTCATAATTCATATTATGGGAGTTCTGATATTATGGGAGACCACTTTTTTTCTTTCGATTATTTTATTTTATTTCTTGTTTTAGAGAATTGCACAGCCATAGCTTCATCGATAAAAAGCACTGAGTGAAAATGCAGTTTGCATAAAAATATAGAGATCAAACTAGATATTTTTATTCGAAATCTACAAACTATAACTTACCATAATGCTTAAATAGATAGATAATTTTAGATCAAGTTTGCTTAAGAGATTACATATGATTTTTTCATATATTACATTGATGGTTTATCTATCTATGAAAAAGCCATGAATTTTGGATTACTCGTGCTGTTTATCTAGGAATTCTGAAAATGAATCAGTTGCAAGATTATCCTTTACTTAATCGAACATCAGTCAAATGGAAAAATTTCTTACATCCTAATTTGTTCAAATGGAATGTTTCGAAATTCTTGAAGAAGAAAATTTAGAAGATTGATTTCAAAGTGATGAATGTGAGCCTGGCTTCCAGTATTTGAGAGATGAAGAAATCGTTACTAACTGTGTTGTTAAATCAAACAGTGATTATAATACTGATGCATAAGATGTAGTAAATGAAGAAAATACAATTTCTCATTCTGCTGCTCTACAATCTGTGGAAACTTTATTAGATTATATGGGAGAACAAAGATATGATTACGGTGACATTACTGCGGTTCGTAAAATATGTGCCAATATACGGCAAGAGATTAATAAACAGCAGAAAGCAAAGATGCATTACACATTTTTTTAAGCAGTAAACGTTAAAAGGAAAATTCCTAGTTTGATGTTATACAGCATGCAAATGTAAGTAATTTTTATGTTTTTTGCACTGATGTTGATTTTTTTTAATAAAAAAGAGTTTTCGGATCATCCATGTCTTTTTTACTGTGCGTGCGACCCATCCCGGTTATTAACCCGGATAATCGGGACTACACTGTATGTGTGTGCATATATATAATATGTATATATATATACACAGGTGTGTAATGTTTAGTGCTCAACTTATACGGCGAAGTCAAATTCAACAGTTAAAAAATTAGTTCATGGAATGCAAAAGGTAAGAAACTTTCGACTTAATCTATTTTAACTTACACCATAGGAAAAAATTTCCTGTACAATTTAAGATTTCTAACAATAATAAATAATTACATGTTAAATTAATGATCATTATTTTCCTTTAATAATAAATTTCATAAAATTGATTGTTTTAAAATGATAAACCTGCAGATACAAATCAAAACATACTAGTTAAAAAAAATCAAAATATTGTTCTAGATATAAAAATGTTGTTGCAAATTTTTTTTAATTAAATAAACTGAAAATAAAAGTCTCACAAACCTCTAAGGAAGCAGAACCCATCCACAAGGCTCCATTATCAGAAAACAAAGCAACATGTTGATTATTACAACTCACAGTTATTTCTGTAATTGCATTAATTGGATTGTTGAACTTTGGAAACTGAAAAGTTTAAAAATACTACATGAAAAATATATTACTCCTATTAAAGACAATAAAAGATTCTTTTCCATAATATATACAGTATAGTAACGATTTATAACAATTTCACATATAACAAGATTCTAGATTTAACAAGGAGCTATTTGGTAAAATAATGTAAATATATTTGACATCTAACAAATTTGAAAGCTTGAAGAAATAATGAAAAAAAAATTAAAAACAAAATACACAATACTCTATCAAATTTTTAAAATAATTAAATATCTTTTAGAACATAATAATTGCAAAATATGTTTCAAGTGGATTTCGTAGTGACTTGGAAAAGAAAGATGACTTGCTTTCAGTCTGATTGCAACTTAAGAACATTGAGAATTTTACTGGGGTTTTAAAAGATTCAATGCATTAAATGTTTTATAATGTAAAATAAATAAGATAAAACTTTGAAAAGCTGAACATTCAATGCTAAATAATAAAAAAATTTCATTTCTCAATAAAGATTATTTAAAGGCTTCCAACAAAAAGCCTGAAAGCTATTTTAAATTACTAAGCCTATCTCAACTTTATTATCTACAGTCACTAATTACTTAATTTTGGGTACTTAATTACCAATATATGTAAATGGTATCTACATTTTTAGAATTTTTTTTTACTTCATTAACAGTTGGAATTAATTAACAACAGGAAGAAACTCTTCTGATTAATAGAAGTTTAGTTATTTTTTCTGCCACTTATTGTTTAATTTTCAGTGAAAAATTTTAAAAACCAAGGATCAAAGCCAAAATAAAATACCATGTGCTATAAAAATTTGCAAAACATGAAAAATAATAAATTTTTTAAAAATCTGTTTCTGAATTAGAAAAATGTTATTACTGGGCCTATTAATATTTAAACTATATTTTTCTACATATTACAAAGACTTTCTACTAGTGAATGAAGATAGTGAAATGCCAATTTATTTTTGTAACATAATTGTGTTTTTAAAATTATCAATTTATAAACATTAATAAAAATTATTAACTTAAACAAAACAAGCACTAGATAAGCTGATAAATAAATAATTTTTTTAAAATTATTTATGGGAAAGTGAATGACATAAGTGATGTTCCTGACACAGTATTATCCATCGATTATACAATTTAATTTGTACTAAAAATCTATAAATAATTGGCTAAGAAGACTTTCATATTATAATTATTTTCTTATTGATTGATTAATTTTATTAAGTTGATCGTTTCAAAAATCTCTTATTTGTATCTCTTTGTACCAAAGATTGAAAAGAACTTACCATTTGCACACACTTTCCCTCATTTTGCAACAATGCATATAACTGTGCATCTTTTGCTACCAATACTTTTGTATTTCTTTCTTCAGCAATAACAGCCCAACTGCTAGGTGGTGCATCCAGCCCTTTAATATAATAATTATAATAAATTTTATACATTAACATATGCAATGTATAATAAGAAATTTAAAATTATTCTAAATAAATATAATATATTATGTGATGAAAGCAATTATACACACTGTTAATATGAGGCAAAACTGTATTCAATGCATTTTTCAAATTAATTAAAATAAAAGAAGTACTAATAAAAAGTTTTTAAACTCATTTAAATAAAAAGCATACAATATAAAACATATAAGTTGAAGTAACTTTTTCTTTAGAAATAACTTACCTAATTGATTGTTTAAATCTAAAAGAAAATCGTAAAAATAGCATAAAAATAATAATATATATAATAAACTCTTTAGAAAACTGATTCAATTCGATTGATGGCTTGAAAAAATAGGAATGAGTTTTAATACAATTAATGAAAAAAATGCAGTTGAAATAAAATCCACAAAAAATTCAAAATGGTCATAGACAGTCTTTCTCAGAGCTCTTTGATTTATAATAGCTAGAGAAGAATCCATTATAATTGAAGTCAATTTAAATATTTTTTAGGTTACACTAAAGTGATTAGCCATGATATTGATAACAGAATAATTTTTGAAATACTGTAAGAAGCAATCACTAAATAAAAACCAATTTTACTATTATTTAATGAAAATAAAATTTGTTTTATTTTTCAGTTTGATGAAGAATTGAGCATACAGCTCTGAAGAATAATTAACAAAAATTAATGGCAAGTAAACAATGATAAATTCATGAAAGCTATATATAATAAACACAAAGCACAATATAAGCAACAAAAAAAAAAGAGATAAAGGAAAGTTAATTAAAATCTACTTTTCACTAGCAAAAAGTATTTAAAGCATTAAGTAAATAAAAATACAGTACAGAACCCGTTATCCGGAAATCAAAAAACCGGAAAACCAAAAAACCGGAACGAAATTCAACAAATTTTCCCGCCATTTTTTAAAAAAAAAATTTTTTCCTCATAAGATTTTAGGATTTTTCCTTTTTTTTTTAAAGATGTTTACTTTACCATCATTTTGGAAATAATCATTAGTGTACTACTTCATCGTTTTTTCTTATTTTTTTAAGATTATTTCCAAAAAAAAATTTTTTTAGTTGGATTTAACAATAAAAAAATGGCTTTTTGTAGTGATTCAAAAAACCGGAAAAATCAATTATCCGGAATAGCGATGGTCCCGATCGTTCCGGATAATCGGTTCCCTACTGTATAACAATCCTAGCTACAAAAAGGTAACTCATTTAAATTACAATTAATACTTTATTTAATTAAAAAAACACATTTAAACAACTTTGCCTTTTATCGGTGAGAATGTTTGAATTTTTGTTTAAATTTTCAATCTAAGCATTATTATATACATTATATTACATCACATTACATATTATTTTTATATATATATATTATGCATATTACATTAATCAAATAATCTATGATCATACCTAAAAACAAAATATTTTAAAATCGAAAATGAACTTTACACTAAAATTTGTGCATAGTTGATGTAAAAGGAATCTAAAAATTAAACTTCATAAATATTACATACAACTATTTAAACTTCATCACAGTTTTTCAGTGAAAAAGTGTTTTTATTTATTATCAGTATTTTTTTTCTCCAGTTTGTAATGACACTGAATAACTCTATAATTTAATAGTTTCAAGCATATAATACACTGAATAGCAATTAAAAAGCAGAAGAACCTAATTAAAACCTCAGGCAGCAATTAACCAGATAAAACTATTAGTAGTAGAAAAAAATTAGCAAACAAAATTATTACCAGGTATGGATGCCATTCGTCTCAAACGAGGATCTTTAATATTGTTGACTAGAAATATATTGTATGCCCCAGTTAATACTGCAACACCAGTATAGAATTTTGGGCTATGGAAGATTCTGCATTCTAAAACCTTAGTATCTTTTACATCCTGAAATTTATCAAAATCATAAAATTCAAAATTATATACTAAATTTATACAAATGTAAACAAAATTTGATTAGGTAAACTCCATATGATAAGTATTTCTAGTAGCACATTTTTCCTCAAAAAACAAAATATACAATATTAGTTCCATTTAAAACAATGAGAGTTTTTTAAGAAATTGTTTTTATTATCAATATATGGAACAAAAATACTTAACAACAACCTATTCTTCAAAATTACTGGTTGTATGAATATAAATTTGTAAGTATCGTATCATAATTGTAAGTGGATAACTATGTCATATGAACTTCATGAGATTGACATAATTTCAATTCTAAAATATCATTCAGATTGTAAAAAAGTTTTGAGACACTAACAGGACTATAATCAATCATAAAAATTATGAATAAGTATTTTTTTTTTATCAGAACGGTAGGTTTATTGGGTAGCCTAACAGTTATTACACACATCATATTGTTTGTTTTACTGTTTATCTATTAAATTTGATTGCTATTTAAATGTGACCTATTTTATTTATTGTACCATTTCACATTGAATCACCGCCATAACACAGATAAAAAGATAGCAGAAAAAAAATATAAATTATACATCATATTAAAATAATTAACAAAACAATTCTTTGTTTTTCCATGAAAATTAACACAATTTAAAGTCTTATTTTTTTTTTTTTTTTTTTTTTTTTTTTTTTTTTTGTATAAATTTGTAACACAAGACTATACAAATTAAAATCTATGTTAAAAAATTGCTTATTTTCACCTAAGCTTTAGGAAGTATAGAGTAAACATGCTTTATTGTGTTTGAAAACTGAGACATGTATCACTATCTTTAATATATTTTTTTAAACATCTGATGCTTGACTGTCAAAAATTTGCAACCATTAGGGGAAATAGTTTTGACAGAAGAGGCGACATAAGATCTTGGTGCAGGACTAATAAACAGAGGCAAATTATTAAAAACATCATTAAACGCACCCTGGAGGACGCACTCGCCCCTGATGACATTTTGGATCCGCTCTACACGAATTAATCTCAGTCCCGGTTGTTGGGCTGCCCGCCTGTTCGCTTCCCGTTATTTTGACAACGTTTTGTTGTTTTATCTATCTCATTCGCTTTTTAATTCTGTTTTAATCTATTTATTCACTACATTGTGCTTTTTAATTGGCTTATTTACATTGCCTTTCCTTGCTTTACAAATTTTAGCGTCTCCTTTTAATTGTATTTGATAATTGTTTGTTTTACCACTTTACTCTCGGAGCATTTTAATTATTTTACTGCTGTTGCCATCAGACTCTGTAATGTTTACATAATGTTACTCTGTAATGTTACTTTTTTGTACTTTATGTACTTTTTTGTTTTCTTGATTTTAATAAACATTTACCTGTATGCCCTAAATTGGGGCAGGTCGGGGTAAATATTTCATATTTTTTTAAACAATTAGCAACAGACTAGAACATAATGCTTTCAGATTAGCTAAATTAATAAATCTTTTCATAACTGAGACACAAAGCATATTGAAGATTTCAAAATTAAAGTAATACTTGTCCCATGCTAGTGTTCTTAATAATATTTCCAAACAGGTCATAGAGAAGTATGTTTCCATCCTCGAGGACACAGACAAGATCCTCACTTGAAGACCAACCCATGTAAACCAAAGGTCCACTATTCCACTAAAATTATTAGTAAAAAATATTAAATATTGTCACAACATTATCAGAGATAAAACAATAAACAAGGAAAATTTAGATAGATAACATTTGTTTAAAATTTAAATATTTTTAAAGAGCATAACTTTTCAATTTCTGTGTCAACATAGATTTTTTTATTTGAGCAAATTAACATCAAATTAAGCTTTAATACTTTAATCAATTAATACTTTACAAAATATATCTAAAAAAGTATTCAGTTATAGTATTAGTTTTAATTCTTTGACTGTTGCCTTCAACTAAATTCATAATAGTTTCTACTTGTTTCCTTGTAAAACAAGCTGGTTTTTTCTACATAACATGGAAATTTTTGTATATCTTTTAGTACAAAAGAAAAAGTTTTTATACCAACATGGACATAGGCAGATAAAAGAATAAAGTATCAAACTCTGAATGTGCTACATGCAACTTTCAGTATAAAGGACACAAAAACCTTACTCTCAATATATACAAATGAGCTCTCAATCTGAGAAATTAAAAACTTACTGTACCGGAATAATAAAAATAAAAAATTGGTAAAATATTTTATTGTCAAATATTAAAATAAATTTATGAAATAATTGTAACTGGAAGGTAATACTTTTTTTTTCTTTTTTAAAGGAAAAAATAATTTACATTCTTAGGTAAAATAAACACATTAGTTACAAAATGCACTGAAGACTAATAATTTTCCCATTCGATTTTTCAGTGATAAAATATCGCAATTTCAGAGTTAATATAGATTTTTTAAAAAATCAAATTGCAGAGAGAAGTTAAGTTTAAAAGGATTGGAGTAAGTAAATTTGTTTCCCTTTGAAAATATTTTAGCAAAATCTTTCAAACTTTATACAAATAACAACTATGTCATGCAACTTAATCAAAAGCAATAACAAAACAGAAACCACTGAAATTACTTATCAATAAACTATAATTTTTTCATTAAAAAAAAAAGAAAAATATTTAATTTATTTTTTAAGCTAATAACATCACAAATAGGAATTTCAGCAAAACACAGTAGAAATTTAGCAGAAAGTATTTGTGTAGCAAACAGTCTTAGAAATGTTTCTTTATTGTTAATGCCATGGCATTTTTTGCCAAAAGATAGAATGGCTTTTGCAAAATGTGCAATTTTTGAAAGGGTAACGTGCATAAATTATAATATTTTACAAAATAATTTCCACTATTTTCGGGGATCTTCAAAATATTTCTGTACATCACATTCAAACGAAAGGCCCTAATTATACTTTAACTACATCCCTTTTCTTTCAAAACAAAAATTTTAATTTTCTTATCATAATTAATGACTAAATATTTTATAAAACTCATGCTTTTACATCTCACTCCCTGACAATGACATGCTTGAAATTTAGATAAAAATTTTTAGCAATTCATCAGCTCTAATTTCAAAAATTTATGGTGAAAAATTACTGAATTATTATGATACTTTGATGTTTTCTAGTTGCTCTGATTTAAGTAAAAGAAAAATGATTCATCAACTATTCTCAACACTCCTCCCTTTTGTGAAGCCATTACAACATTGTTTATCTTGAAATTTTTATTGTTGGGAGAAATTAAAAGAAACAATAGTTAACAAATTTTTTGACCAGATACTGATGAGAGGTATTCAGCTAACACAAAATAATTTTATTGAGATAGTAATTTTTATGATTAAAAAGGTACTTAAAATTCAAAATAAGTAAGATAGATTTTGATGACACAATAAAGTTCAGAGAGAAACCAATTAAATTAATAGGAACATTATATCAATTATTTACATTTTACTGAAAATAATATGGAAAAACTATGTGAGTCTAATTAAAATAAATAAGTTGACATCTTTAGGCAATAAAAAGTATTTTTAAATTATTTAACAAATTATTTTAACTAAAATAGATTATTGATATAGTACAGAACTGAAATAATGTTTAAAAAAATAAAACCTTACAAGAGTAGATCTAAATATAACTAAAATTAACTTAACATAAATGTCAACGCTTACTTTAATAGTTGAGATGGGTTGCCCAGAAGCAGAATAAATGTAAATATAGGATTTGTTTATGGTCTGAACTTTTTGAAATTTCTTTCTATCTTGTGTTAAAGCTGAAATGAAACAAAACAAATAATGTAAATTTATATATAAAAGAAGCTCAGAATAAATTTTTTAAAAAAAACACTTAATAAGAATGAAAATTATCAAATACTTTGTAAAAAACAGTTTAATTGAAACAAAAGTCTAATAGATTACCAATAGGTCCACCGAAAGGGGCTGCAGCTACAATGAAGTCTGATAAATTTACTTGATCAGCCCATTGCATTGAATATAATTCCACTTTTCTGTAAAAAAAAAATAAAACATTTTAAGCTACCATACAACTGTAATAATAAAAATTATGAAACCTGATCTTCCAGGAATTAAGGTCAATCTTGTTTTTACCATCTATGCCATTTTATTTTGACAAAGAAGGTGACAATGTTGCATATACACGTTCATGTTTTAATAAATACATTATTTAGTGATTTTAGAGTTGTTTTTACTTAATCATAACAAAAAAAAATCAAAAAAATATCCTGCCTCTCCTGGGAGAGAAAGCTGTCACACGATGAGTCTGTCTTTTTCCATATAACCAAACTTGGGTGGGTAGGATGTTCTTAATCATAACAAGAAAGATTGTACCTGCCATTTTCTTAATGTTACTACAAGGTATTAACATATTTTAAATAAAAAGGGATAGTAAAATTATGTCTTGAAACAACCCAACATAGTAAATGCACATAAATGCAAGAGTACAAATAAAAAATAAACAGTTTTCATTTACTTAAATTTAGAAAATGAATACTCAACAAAATGATCTGTACTCTACTCATTTATTTATTTTTAAACTTTAACCTTGAATATTTGAGTGAAGTAAAACAGGAAAGTGTATACATAGTTTATAAATCTTGTTATCATAAATCAAGTCATATAAATTCAATCAAAATTATCCATACCATAACCATAAACTATCCACACACAAGTGCACCCCCTAAAAGGGAGGGAATGTTTTAAGAGAGGTTTGTTTAATAGTTTGGGAATACAACCTTTTACCTCATAGTACTATTTTCCCAATTTTTTTAAAACCTATAACAGGAAAAGTTTCGGGAAATACTTTTTTCATATTTGGTAGATATATTTAAAAAATCTGCTTTGGCAGAAGCATTTTTTACTTAAAATTGATTGTATCTTGAATGCAATACCTCGGAACCATAAAGTAACAAAGAAGAAAAGCAAATTTAAAACCAGTGGTTTAATTAGAAGAACTACTGCCTTTTTTTAACGAAAATAAATTCTTTGGAAGGATATTTCTTAAATTTTTCTTTTTTTTTTACAGCAAATATTTTTCTAGTCTTTTTTATGTTCCTTAAACTTTATTTTCTCAAGTAAAATAAAAGTAAAAAATATTAATAATCAGAGTTTTAATTAAAGGAGAATGCACAACAAAGCCCTTGTTTCTAAAAAATAAGTCATGTCTCCACCAATTATGTTAAATTCTGAAAAAAATTTAAAATAAATAAAATATTGAAAATTATAAACATTTCAAAATCATTATTACTTTCATAATACGAATTTGTGAATTTTTATTTTATAATTATATAAGTTGAAGAGAAAACTCATTAAAACATCATGCGACTAATTTAATATTGCAAAAAACGCAATCACATAATGTAAAATAAATAAATAATGAGAATGCTGTATTAATATCAATCATCTTGTATGACCCTTGTATTAGTATGAAAAATTGATTTAGAGATGAGTCTGCAAATTGTTACTTAATTCATGAGAGCGGTTGATCTAAAGTAAACTGCTTATTTTATTACTATTATCTGGGGCATATAATTATATCCTTAATTTTATGTTGTAACCTAGAATTCCCTATTATAGCTAAGTCATTCTGCCATCATGTTATAACAGCCTCTTATAACTCCCACCTGCACAATAAGATTCTTAATACACAAAAATTTATTATAAGATAACATTAATCTTAATTTAATTCCTTTCGTCATAAAAATTAAGTTTGCGAAATGGAGGCCCTGGAAAAAAATGGAACCTTGATAAGCATATTTGAATAATGTTTGAATGTGCATAAAAATCATTCCAAACGAAAATATATATAAATACACCAATACAAATCAAAATTATATGATATATTATAAAGATTCCAAATAAAAATTATAATAAGAAACTTGCCTGTAGTAAATATTTTTTCCTAAAGGAGTCCAGTCTCCAGTGTAAAGAGCCATGATGGGAGTATGATACTCCCTTAGGGGTGACCCTTATTGCAGTAAAATAGTAAACTTCACGAATATTTATAAATGAAGCCTTTTTTTTCACTTAATTAATCGTTTCCTTTCACACAATTCTACACATTGTAACACCCCTCAACTGAGAAACCAAAACCAAACAATAAACAGAATCACGTGATTAAAAAGAAGTTTATTTCAAATATTAAAGACTCACATTGTCACTAATTCATCATACTCCCAAAGACTTAAGGATCGTTTTTACTACATACCAAAATTTGCTAATGGAGATTCAGATTTGCAAACGGTAAAGTGATTCGTGATCGCAACGCTCGAATACGCCCTCTTGAGGGAGCCTGAAAGTATCGGGCATTAGTTCCCACAAAACCATTGGCAATGACGGACGCAATTATCTTAGCAGCAAATAAGAAGCAAAATTTATCTAAGGAAAAGGTAGAACTTCTTGAAAAAGCTAACCAGAACATGCCAAACATTGAAGCAGAAAACGCCAAGCATTTGAAGAACAATTTCTTAACAGTTTTTACCTTTCTATTGCCAACAACATGACTTCCAATTTCATGATCACTTGCTGCTACAGATGTTACGGTAAAATAATTTATTGGGTAGACTATATTTAAGGGTGCCCCTTGACTCTCGCCAAGTTGTGATCGTGGTTGATTGCCAAGCCAGTCGATGTTGAAACCCAATCGTCATTCTGATTGTTTTAGATTTTAGCGTTATTTTTAATTGTTCAACGGTAGAAGTAATTTCAGAGGCCCGTTAGTTCTACGTTGGATACCGGCTGGTAAGGTTACTTATGTTTCTGGTCAAAAAGATCGAAGGTAAGTTGGCAGTCATATAAAAAGGGACCGGAATACCGGAGACATTTTTTTCTTAATTAAGAAAAAAATGTCACCGCTAATCCGATATTACAGACGCCATTTTCGATTCGTATTTCGTCGAATTTATGTGGCAATAGAGGTACACAGATTCTATTCATGATAAATTTAGACAGTAATTTTGTGCATCTAAATCTAAGAATATTCAAGCTTAATGAAGAAGTGAGTTGTTTTTTTCCTTTTCTTTCTGCGCCTACTCCATTAATTTTTGCTTTGATTCAAAATCCTTTTTATTGGGTTCATTAATTTTGCTTATATTGGGTTCACTGCAAGTTTTGGCTGATGTTTTGCTGAAATTTTCTAATGTTTTATTGAAATATCATTATGTTTTGGCCGCCATTCCTGTTACCACGGTGTTCCACGCAAACTGGAATAGCGCCAAACATAAGTCGCCAATTTCGCCAAGGGGCACCCTCAAGTATATTTTTCCCAATTTTTTCTGTCTTCAATTCATTACAAATTAAAAGGAAGTCAACATTACTTTCGTCATTCCAAAGAATAGAATGAATTCAGAACTGTAATAGTTATAGAATATTCTTCTTCTTTATAGAATAGTATATACCTGTATCTATATAATTCGGAAGAAAACAATAAAGAATCATTCGAACTACTTCAAATTCGTGATCGCCACACTCGAGCACGCCCTCTAGCGGGAGCCTGAAAATATGAAGCATTAGTTCCATCATAACCATCGTTGCTAATGACGGACGCCATTTTCTTAGCAGCAAACTTTCCTTAAGGAAAAGGTAGAAGAACTTGAAAAAATTAGCCTGAATACGCCAAACATTTATGGAATGTTAAGTTTAAATGGATGGGTGATCGTGCAAAGCTAAGGGTGGTGGCGCTAGTGGCTAATTTGCTCTCGCAAGACTTCCGGGTTACTGCTTCCGATATATTTTTACGTCGCAGATTGAAGGAACGCGCTATCATATCTTTTGCAGCATTTCACATGTACCAAGTTCTTTTTTTCAGCCTTTAAACTTCAGCATTATCATATTAATACTATAATCATTAGAATATTTTCCAATTAGGCTAACTTAAAAAGATATTTGTGGCGACATTTCATTCAAATGTAGCCAAATAAGGGATAAAATACAAAACATGGCCCCACACAGCCACCGCTATCCCAGGGATA